TTCCTATTTGTTATATTAATTTCGAGCTGTTGGCGGTAGGTGCATTTGATTCAGCAGCACTAGCGCAGGGAAGGCAAAGTGTTCCCATTTTGAACCATTTTATGTGTCTGAAGGTAGAACTCTGCCTACCCGGCAGACCCAGAGAGCAAATCAAGTGCACCTATAAGCCTACCGCTGGCCTATCAGATAGCTCTGATCACCGTGTCTGCACAGTTTCTCACGCCGTAGACTGAAAAAAGAAGCCTCGAACGAAGTTGATAGATAATGTGAGATTTCAAAACTTTTAAAACCATGACTAGAGAGAGATTCGACGAATACAGCAAAGAGCTGCTGTTTTTATGAGTAAGTTCATGTTTACGTTGTTATACAGCACTGTCAACACTTTGTTCAACAGTTTTATAAGCCATAAAATGCAGTTTCTCCCTACTTCCACTCACAGTACAACCAGCACTGCAGCTGCAATAAATGAGAATAGCAATGTGTTATTTGCGTCCATAGCCGTGGGAAGTACGGGTGCTGAGCGTGTTGCAGCACTCCCTGAAAAATCTGAATAAAGAAATACATTATTTTTTCACAATAGTAGTGCACTGGGCCTTTACTAGTCCTGTATTAGCGGAACGATATTCTGTAGCGCGGGCAAAAAAAGTTGGTTACGACGCCAAACTTCAGTCAGGTCAAGACCTGGACGATGAGCACGCATATGAGCTTCCCTGAGACGATTTCTGACAGTTTGTGCAGAAATTCTTCGGTTGTGCAAACCCACAGTTTCATCAGCTGACCAGGTGGCTGGTCTCAGCCAATGCCGCAGGTGAAGAAGCCGGATGTGGAGGTCCTGGGCTGGTGTGGTTACACATGATCGGTGGTTGTGAGGCCAGCTGGACGTACTGCCAAATTCTTTAAAACGATGTTGGAAGCGGCTTATGGTAGAGAAATGAACATTCAATTCTCTGGCAACAGCTCTGGTGGACATTCCTCTCAATTACACGCTCCCTCAAAACTTGAGACATCTGTGGCATTGTGTTGTGTGACAAAACTGCACATTTTAGAGTGACCTTTTATTGTCCCCAGCACAAGGTCCACCTGTGTAATGATCATGCTGTTTAATCAGCTTCTTGATATGCCACACCTGTCAGTTGGATGGATTCTCTTGGCAAAGGAGAAATGCTCACTAACAGGGATGTAAACTAATTTGGGCACATAATTTGAGAGAAATAAGCTTTTTGTGAGTATGTACAATTTCTGGGATCTTTTATTTCAGCTCATGAAACATGGGACCAACACTTTACATGTTGCGTTTATATTTTTATTCACTATACTTGCCACCCACAGATGGTTTTCTTAGTTATTTATCTATTTAGCGGTATGCAAAGTTAATAGACCAAGAAGTTGCCTTCGGTCTTGTTCCTTCGTGCACTTTGAGGATGCTAAGGACCAAACTCTCTGTGATCCTTTGTCCCTGTTCAGGATCTCAGCTTCCCGAAGCCTCTGCCAAGGGTAATAATTACTTGCCAGGCAGCCAACAGGCTATAATCTCCTTCTGTAATTAGAACGTCACACCAACACACAAAACAGTCATTACACCTAATGGGTTGAGAATGAGACTATTGGAAGCCAGGAGGAGAGAAGGCTGGAGTGATCTATTGAGAACTCTCCTCTCCTTTTCTGTAAAGTTTTGAGAAAGTAATGCATGCAAAGAAAAGCACTTCAGCAGAAAGTTAGTGTTTAGTAAGAATGTTTATTTAAAAATCGGTAGTTTGATACAGAAATAGTCATCTATAATATGGATTACCAGACAATCAGAACTTCAGTCATGCTTTCATCTGATTTACCACTGATTCCAAAAATACAATATATATATTGTTCTCCCCAAAAATGAAGTTATGCAAAGAAAATATACACTAAAAAGCAAATATTGTACACTGACACAAAATAGAGAACAATTCAATAACAATTCAGTATCTGAAGGCATCGCACAAATTCCAAGAAATCAGTGAACGTTTTTAAGGCCATTTTGTAGTTATTTTCATAGATTTTACTTTCCAAAACACTCAATTATAACAAAAAGAACTAGTGCATCTCATGTAAAACTGTACATGCAAACATAGTGCACGTTATAAGTAGATATGATGAGCATACAATATATTATTTGGATAACTTTAGTAAACAAAGATCACGTGTGTGAACTGACATGGTCTGTTAAAAACTCTGGCGGCACGCACGCACGCACGCACACGGCTTGGCAAGCAGATGGCAAGAGTTGTGGCACTAGCAAAGCTGTGAAATAAAAGAATGATCCTTTCCAAAGTAGTGTGAACTGAGAAAGCACTAAGAAATGACAACGTCAGTAGTCCACGATGGTGACCATGGTCTCAGCTGTATGTGTGTCTGTGTGTGAGCGTGTGTGTCTGTGTATATGCACGGGCACACGTGTGCCCACACTGTGTCAGTAGCCTGTGGGTGGTTAATGGGAGCCTATAACGAGCGCTAGACTGTGACCCAAAGTCCTAATGATACCTCCTGCTCTGCTACAAGCACAGTGGGAGAATGTAGCACAGACTCAGACAAGCTGGGTTTCAAATAACACGCTAGCTGTTCCCCAAATACTGCATTTCTTTTGACAAGAGCCATGCGGTGCACTATATGGATTTCGCTAGGGTTTCATATGATACACAGACTCACGACTAGCTACAACTACAGATGCAGAGAGGCAATTATGGAATGCTTTCAAATGTGTGAGAAAAACACGATGAAAGTAGCCGCCACTCTGAAGACATTAGTGAAAGTTGTGAGAGAAAAGAAAGATTGGAAATACAGTTTGTGTCTACTGTATGTCTTTTTTTTTTACTTATCCCCCTCTCCTCCTGCCATGCCAAATATTATCGGCTTGGGAGTTGATCCTATTTGAGCATTAAAACACAGTCTATTCTAATCTGTGAGGCTGCATCCACTGAGCTGCAGTGAGACAGGAGGAGGAATTACACAGAGAGAAAAGAGAGGAGTTGTTATGTGGTTGAATTGTGGCAAAGGGCATGTGTCTATCAGTAATGATATGGCAACAGACAGGCAACAGACCGACTGTGGCACACATGAAAATGGCAACAAATGGCAACAACCGCGAAATACATAAATGTGGTGTTAGTGTCTGTTAATTTGAGAAGAGATATTGATATGTAACCAATCAGGTTATCAATTACCCACAACCTCCATACAAGCACTAGCTAATAGTTATATTATGATAATAATTATTAGTATTATTAATAATGAAAAGGCAGTTGATATAAACTCTTAAGTCCATTAAGACAGCAGATTGAAGAGGATACCCTGGCTGTAAGAAGTAAGAGTGGGTTGACTGGGTATAATGGTTATGGGCCAGGAGTTAGCCCTCAGTGGGTATTATGGGATGAGAATTACAACATTTAGGAAGAACAAGTTGTCATGATGACCACCAGACACCAACATCTAGGGCCAACACACTCAGGGCGTAACACAATAACAATTAAATCATATTACATAATGATTGGCACAACTCAAAACAATACAATTACCTTAACAAGGCAACTTAAAACAATCTTCTTAAGAATATCAACTTCCAAGGCAATAAACAAGGGGTTAAGAGCGTTGGGTCAGTAACCGAAAGGTCGCTGGTTCGAATCCCCGAGCCGACTAGGTGAAGAAAAAATATCTCGATGTGCCCTTGAGCAAGGCACTTAACCCTAATTGCTCCTGTAAGTCACTCTGGATAAGAGCGTCTGCTAAATAACTAAAATGTAAATGTTATAATAACACAAAAGAAAAGAAGGAAAGCATTTGTGTTGCTGTTTTTGACCACTGGGCTTCTGCTGTTGTCTCAAACTGGATCTGAGAGCAGCTGTTGTTATTTAAATGAGTTGGAAAGGAATATAGGAATATGCTGTTGGTTGAGTCACTGTTGTTCTCGACACAGTGAGAAAACCCGTGGGCACTCGCAGTGCGGCTGGCATGGGCACCCTATCGCCAAGGCAGATTAGAAGGGAGCAGAATATGCTTCAATAACAGAGTTAAAAGTTAAAAACATGGAACCCCAAAGCCTGAGAGCAGTGACAGGCAGAGAAGTGTAGGACCACAATGCATGCTCTGATGCTACACTCATGCAAAGGGACACATAGTATAGAACAGTACAATACAGTACAGCATATTACAGTGGCTACTTGGACCTGCACTGTTGCAAGCTCAACCTGACTCCCGTGGCAAAGACAACACACTGAGAGATAAAGAGAGAGAATATTGATTGATATTCCAAAGTTTCATACTGAAAGAAGTATGTATATTATATAAAAGTATCCAACGGTAAAAATCATTATCATTAACATGTACTGTAAACATTGAGTGAGAGTTGGAAGAAGAGAGAGAGAGAGAGAGAGAGAGAGAGAGAGAGAGAGAGAGAGAGAGAGAGAGAGAGAGAGAGAGAGAGAGAGAGAGAGAGAGAGAGAGAGAGAGAGAGAGAGAGAGAGAGAGAGAGAGAGAAATATATTTCCAGTTATTTACAACAGTCAAGTGATTCCACATCCAGAGACTATAGAACTTTTTGCCACTCTGCTCCTAAAAAAGGCCAGTCCCCAGGAACTTCCTTCCTATCCTCCTTTCATCCTTCCTTCCTTCCTTCATCATTTCCTTAACTCCTTTATTCCTTGCCAGGTGAGTTGGGAAGACCAGTATTCCCAGGTGTGTCCCAGAGACTGTCTCCATTGGCCGATATACAGGAAGTCCAGACAATGGAAGTAAACATACCCTTGTTGACTCCATACACCCGTTCCGAAGTAGAACCCTTTAGAACCTCTCAGTAAAAATTTATAGAACCCTGCCATTCATTCTGCCAGTCAGTCTCCATTAGTGCAATGAGAGAGAGCGAGAGAGCCAAGAAGGCCTCTCCTATCACTGAGCTAGTGATGCAGAGAGGAGAGAGACAAAGAAAGATTTGAAGAGGTGTTGTTCGGTACCAGGGGGCATCTCCGCACCCTTCAGATCTGCGTCTGCAGGGGGTGTCCTGGGGGGGTATTTAATGGGTGTCTCTCGGGGCTCTGCACAGGGTACCCTGGGGGTGTGTAGGGAGGGGGTGCGGGTGAGGGCTTGATGCCTCTGGTCCTCATGTAGGAGAGGAACTGGTCAGGGATCTCAGCCAGGACATCCTTGGCTAGACGGGCCATACTCAGGATGTGGTTCCCTGTCCGGTCGATATAGTCTCTGAACGGGACAAACTGGATGACAAGAGAGACAAAACCAGGCTGGAATTAGTTACAGTACAGTCAATGTACAGGTGTTTAGCTACTAAATGCTGAATCCTAACTGGAAAACCGACAGAGATAAGAAATGGGGCTGGAGAAATATACTAAAATATATACTAAATATATACTAAAATAAAAGTATAGGCAATATATAATAGATGTTAGGCCATTATGTGTGAATTCTGCAAAATACTTCCAAAGATCTTTGAAAAACTTAAGTTGGGACATTTTGGACCCACAGTACAAGTAAAGCATTAATTTATTCATACCAATTGGCAAGTTCAGAGCGAGGTGAAATAGGTCTAGCCAATCAGCTATCAAAGCCTTTCGTTTTCCTCGTCTCGTTGCTATGTACAGTGCATTGCTAGCGAACGCTCAGTCTCTTTCATATCTGATCTAATGAGGCTGGGGGCAGAGACAGGTTTATCACAGATCTGTCTTTCATAGGGGTCCTGCCTTTCTGTGTGTGTAGAGGCAGCTAACTATCCAGACTGACAGATTGTGAGGGAGTGAGTGGGCTAGAAAGAGCAGAACAGAATGGACCTCCTAGTGTGTGTGTGTGTGTGTGTGTGTGTATGTATGTGTGTGTGTAGACCTCCTAGCCAGGTCCACAGCAGAGCAGCCTTGATGTTCTCTCTGTGTTAACAAGGCTCACTAATGAGCAGGGGGAGCGTAATGATCTATCCCTCTATCATATAATCCACAGAGGGAGGGAGGTAGGGGAGGAGGGAAATGGGAGGATGAGAAGGAGGAGGAGGAGGGAGGGAAGGAAAGAGGGAGGAAGAGAGGAGCCCCTTCTACTGTCCAACAGAATAGGGGCAGTCCTGATAGGAAACGGTGCCTAATAGACTATTAGCATATAATGGTGGCTAACCATTTGGAATAGCATGGAGGCTAGCCATTTGGCACAATAGCATAGCATGGAGGCTAGCCATATCAGGGCTAATGTAGCATGGAGGCTAGCCATATCAGGGCTAATGTAGCATGGAGGCTAGCCACATCAGGGCTAATGTAGCATGGAGACTAGCCACATCAGGGCTAATGTAGCATGGAGACTAGCCACATCAGGGCTAATGTAGCATGGAGACTAGCCACATCAGGGCTGGGGTAATCTTCCGTGGGCAGATTCTGCGTGTAGACTGAGAGAATCTGCCAGGACTGAATGGGATGCATGAAATCCAAGCAACATCAGTTCCGTTTTGGGGTTTTTCGTCACAGGTTATTTGGACGTATCAGGATTGGACGAAGGCTGTGCTTAAACTGCTTCGCGCATGTGCCCACATGGATAGGAAGGGGGTGGGGTGGGGGGAGGGCTTTGGCTGAGAATTTCCTTTTGCGAGGGTGGAGACTTCGATTTTGCCAGAACTCTCAATTTCTAACATGTATGAACACAGGAGTTAATCAAGCAGCTGACCAAATTATGCAAGATTTGACTTCTGGGTTAACAGAGATTAGGGCTGGGGCCTCTGTGGGGTCTCTGTCCATCTGGCCTGATGAGGGAGAGCAGAGCAGGTGGGAAGGATCTGAACTCAGACCAGATGTCTGTCTGTCTAACGATACAGATGTTAACATGCTGTTAAAGTCTAATGTATGAGCACTACTATCTGTGTAAATGTCTATTTTGGTTTTACGTATGATTCTGTTGATTCCCTCGTTCGGATTTCCTTCCCAATATATTTTCTAGTACTTCTAGTTTCTACTACTATTGATCATCATTATGTGCATATAAACAGTATGTTGTAGCCTCTGTCCATGGCCATGTTTGTTCTGTGCTGTGCTATGCAATCAATCAAATGTATTTTATAAAGCCCTTTGTACAATAGCAGTTTGCAGAATGCAGACAGTTTGTTTTTTGTTTGTCAGGCATATTCTAATGCTTCCAAAACCCCACCTATATGACTCCATGCATCTTGCAGCCTAGCATGGGAACGGCGTACCTGAACAATGTCCCTCTCTGCATATCTTCCCCTCGACGAGATCCTCACTTCATCCCCATCCAACTCGATCATCGCTGAGGAGAAACATCATACTGTAATCATCATCTGCTCAGTGGAGTGTGTGTGTGTGTGTGCATGCGTGAATGTGTGTGTGTGTGCATACGTACGTGCGTGCATTTGTGCATCTGTGTGTGTTTGTGTGTTTCTTACCATCAAATTCTGCTGGTCCCACCCCTACGATGATAATCGACATGGGAAGACACGATGCCTGGATAGGACATTAGGAATCAAAGTTGAGTCCCATATTCTCCCCATTATGTATGTGACATAAAGTTGAGTCTGTCACACAGTATAAATATGCATAGGATTCTGTCCGTTTTATGAGTGACGTTGACTGAGCACCTATACAGCCTACAGCCTATACAATAAAGTTGATTCACCACAAGCTGCGTGTGTGTGTGTGTGTAAATATTAATGGAGTGTGCCTGTGAAATGTAGCATCTTCCTGAGTGCTGCGTGGGACAGGAATACCTCTCGGAATTTTGGGATGAGAGAATAAACAAGTCCCTAAACTCACACTCCCCCAACCCTTTAATGTGTGTGTGCATGTGTGTGTGTGTGTGTGTGTGTGTGTGCCATAACCCCGCTCCTGCTCTCTCCGTCTGTCTGAGTGTTGAGTTAGTTTGACTGATAAAACCCAGGGTTGTAGAATGATCGATGACTTTATCAGAATGTCTTGTTTACTTGTTCCCCTAGGAACTGATCCAAAGTCAGCATTTACCGCTCCCTATATATATTACTGTGCCCACTTCCCCCAATCAAGTCTCCTGGCTCATCTCCCCTGACTATGGTAATACAGACAGTGATGTGTGTCTTAGCCACTAGTGTCCATACTGGCCATTTAGTGACCTGGGGCCGGGATTCAATCAGATCGTGGATTTGGAAAATGGTCCATTTAAAGGTCTTGAGCCGACATATGCAGGGTTTAACGTGAATGTGGTCTCCGCCAAAGCGGGAACATTGCCTAGCAGTTAGTGAGTTGTTCTTACGTTGACGATGGACTCCTTGGTCTGGGCCATGTCTGAGATGACTCCATCTGTAATGATGAGGAGGATGAAGTACTGAGAGCCATCCTTCACTGACGCAGCATACCTACAAACAGGAGAGAGACACACATAGGTGTACATAGGTGAACCACACAATGTTTATATTATCCATAAAACCATTGTCTACATTGTCTTTATTTCCTACAGATGTAACCTTTCAAACCCGGCATGAACTGGCTGGGTAGTGATATTATTTCTGGCACCTACTTTACACAACGTGTGCCCTAGCCACTGACTGCTTCCTGTGCTTCTCAAACACACGTAAGGCGGGCGGCGAGAGAACATCTGATGCTTGCAGCGTCGGACACAGAGACAAAGACAGAGAAGTCAACTGAACAGTTATTAAACTGCGAGGAGCGTGAGGCAAGGCAGAGAAGGAACAGAACGGTTATTATTAAAACGTGGGGGCGAGTGGTACACGGAGAAATGAGGAGATAAGACAAACAGAGTAGATGAGCGGAGGCTGGCATGACAGCGGTGCCTGGGAGTGAGGGGAGGGGTGAGGAGAAGGGAGGAGGGGGGTGTCTAGGGTGGCACTAATGATTGTGGATTCTGAGAGCCACACACACATTTTGCACTGGGTTGTCAACCCTCAACTCAACATTTATAGTGTGGCTTCCCAGCAACAACAAACAGGCACACACACACATGCATGTAGATGAGCACACACACACACACACACATGCACACAGAAGTCTGTTAATCTCAAGTCTTCTGACAGCACCTTTACTTCATTAAGGCAAACTCATTAAGGCTTAAGGACTGTGTGTGTATAGGTATGTGCGCGCGCATGTACACTTCCTGTCAAAAGTTTGGACACATCTACTCATTCAAGGGTTTTTCTTTATTTTTACTATTTTCTACATTGTAGAATAATAGTGAAGACATCAAAACTATGAATTCCAGGTGACTACCTCAATGCAAAGGGTGGCTACTTTGAAGAATCTCAAATATAAAATATATTTAGATTTGTTTAACACTTTTTTGGTTACTACATGATTCCATATGTGTTATTTCATAGTTTTGATGTCTTCACTATTATTCTACAATGTTGAAAATAGTAAAAATAAAGAAAAACCCTTGAATGAGTAGCTGTGTCCAAACTTTGACTGGTACTGTATGTGTGTGGGAAGGACTGTGTAGTCATTGTTCACTCACACAAACAACACATTTACAGGTTAATTAAAGAACAGAATGTGACAAAAAGTCACATAAAACTAAGACTTTTTTATTTAACAGCTCAGAAGCACCTTTTCTGTGACACAATTAACGTTAAAGTTCTACAGCGGAATGTTATAACACAGTCACACTTATTATCTGTGAACTTATCTATGTAAGCTGTGCATGCACTGAGAAACATAGTCACACTTTTAAGAGTTGAAGAATCTCAGTTAAGTCTCCGTTAGTCTGACCGTGTGGCTGAAACACTGTCACCAACTTATTATCAGTATAATACTCTGTGAGTTACGTACTGAAACATCTACTTGCACTTTTAAAAGCTGATACATCTCAGTTAACTCTCTGTTAGTCTGGAGACTTCCTCTGTTGTCTTTTCTGCTCTAAGGGAAACGACTCATTAATCACAACATACAGCCTGCGTCGCGAATGACTCTCACTGGAACACAACGGACAGTGGATCGATACACACGTTCAGGCCATCTTAGTTAGTATTGATCTACTAAGGACTCAGGAATCATGACATATGGCTCTCTATAGACATTTGGCTCTCTCATGCCTGGGAAGTTTAGGTGTGCATTGGTAGGAATGTGATCTGAAATTCAATGAAGGAAGACCTATAGATATCGCCCTCTGTTTTTATCACCCTGTAATGTGTATCCAGTCAGTTCAGGGAGTGAATCTAAAAACTCCTAATAGAAAACCGTGGGTAATATAATTTTCTATTCACAAATTGAATTTCAATTTGGTTCGCAATCAAAAACTGAAGTGACCACAAAGCTGGTTCCTCATAGCCCCTTACCTGGCCACATGGTTGATGACAGGAGAGAAGTTGGTTGGGCCGTAGAGGCAGACAGACTTCAGGCTCTGGTAATATGCCTCCATCACTCCATCTATACCTGCACAGTATGGGTTTTGGGGGTTGCCATTCTGGAAGACACAAAAAGAGGACGGTAGTTAAACATCTTTCATCAATCCCATTCAAGCAGGAGAATAAAATTAAACATTTGGTTAAAGATCTTTCCAATTCAATTCTGAAGCAAGGGAATGGAGGCGGAGAACTAGAAAAAAGGGAGGGAGAGGAGGATAAATAAGCAGCTTTCATCAATACAAATTTAGGCCCAGTGAGAGATAAATAAGGGAAATCCCTGCTGAGCGTGCTGGAGGCATGTTCCTGTCTTGAGTGGTATCCTACTGTTTACAGTACTCTGTAGAGCTGAAGAGGGAAGGAGAGAGAGGGGGAGGGAGGGAGGGCTGTCTGTGATCGATGGTTTCTGCCTTACAGAAAGGACAGTTACTGTTCTCCTTGGCAGTCATAGAACTCAGTGGTAGTATTTTTTTAGCACGTGGCATCCTAAGCCTCTACAATACAGCCACTAAGGAGACGTTGAAACTTTGAGGGTTTGAGCCTGCCTGGAGTGCCAGATAGGTGGAGGTTGCTTAGTTTTTTGTTGCTCATTCACTTGTCTAATTGCTTATGCTTCGATGGGTGCATCTGCAGCTTTTGACCAGATGTAAACAAAACAAGCCTGTAACCATGGTAAACACATTAAGTATATGTGGTTCATACAGGGAGTAAACCCACAATTTAACCAACTGAGCCAGGACTGAACAACTCTGGTGATGGGTTATCCATCCACAGGTTTTGTTCCAACCTCTCTGAACCACATCACTCACTCATCACGGCGAACTCATGTGAGACCCATCTGTCTGGGGGCAGCTTGGCTCCGAAGCCCAGAGCAGGGAACATCTTATCAGGGTTCAGGGGGTAGAGGTCAGGGGTTAGAGGTCACTTACCAGGGCGAACTCATGTGAGACCCGTCCGTCGGGGGGCAGCTTGGCTCCGAAGCCCAGAGCAGGGAACATCTTATCACTGTCATAGTCCTGGATGATCTCTCCTACAGCCTTCAGGGCCATGGCATAGGCATTCATCTGGTAGGGACTCATGTAGTGGAGGGAGGTGGGCTGGGCTGGGTTGCCTGGGAAACAGGTACGGTAATGGTAAATAATGGGACAGTAATAACAAGGTACAATAATGGAACAACAGAGCCAGATATAGAAAGGAATGGTTGTGTCTCAAATAATAAAATTAATTCCCCATTTAGTGCACTGCTAGCCCATGCTGTTTATGGTCGAAAGTGGTGCATTATATGTGGAATAGGGTGTTATCAGAGTTTTGCCCATACAGAAAGGTAGTTAGGATTTCAACCAAAATGGTGATTCTTTTAGACAGCATAATACAGTATTTTTCACTAGAGACTGTGTTAGATCTCTTTCCCTCTGTATAATACTCTGGGTAGTGGGTACAGTATAAGTGACATACATCATTCCATAATCAATATGAGCAGGAGAATAATTTCACTAGTGTCTAGTAAAAGCACTTCATAGCACACTGGCTGTAGTGGTTATGAGTATAGTGACATATTAACTTGAGATATTTTAAAGGCCCTATTAGACACAAATCCATAACATCAGCTCCTGCATATCATATCCTATATCGAACTTCGTCAAATAAAAACAAGGCAGCAATAACCCTACGCTTATGAGTTATCAGTGGGTCTAATTTTGACTTGAACCATCTGTTGTTATCTAAGAGATATGGTAGTCCCAGTCAACCACACTATAACGTCTAAGAGATAGGCCATTTCCTCCCAGCCTTGCTATAACAGGTACACATTAAATGGATAAGAGAGGCACATTTGTTCCTGTTATCACCACTAAGCTATCATCTCTTTTACAGCATTAGGTTTTAGCCTGACCTGCAATAATAGAGTAGGGCTATTACAGATAACTTTATTCCCCATCTGCATACATTTAAATAGCCCTGGTCGAGCATTAGGAGAAGTGTTGAGTGTGTGAGTGAGTGTGTGTGTGTTGCTCACCGTTTGAAGCGGTGAAATCAATCGCCACTGTGAAATTTATCTGGGTCCTGGAAGGCAAAAGCAAGAGGGTATTTATTCATTTGCCGCACGCTAGCATGGACACACACACACACACACACACACACACACACACACACCATAAACCACTGGCTTAATAAACTGTAGCAAACACAAGAATGTTCTGATTATCATAGCTCAAGCAAGCAGGCAAGTTGAAAACTCTTCTTTCCCTTGATCCCTGAGGAAACTAAATAAAATATAAATAGAGAGAGAGAGATAACTGTCTAATCCTTCACTACTTACAGTATTTACCAACAAGTCAAGACAAACAACAGGTTGAACAGGCGAGTGCACAGAGTGCTGTTGTGTGCTGTGCGTGCCGTACCGTGCACTGTAGCTCACACAGTCTCTTGCCTTCTCCACCACCTCCTGTATTGGAATAGATCAGGTACTGTAAGGAACCATTGGAATTGTCACCCTGTGACGCCATTTGGAGTGCACTGCACAGCCCGCAGACACACGTTAGTGCAGCAGACCTGAAAAAGCCTGTTCATTGTGAGGGAGGGGGGAGAACCAGACCAGGGGCTCTGTATTCTCCTCTCCCCAGCTCTGAGCCACTCTGCCTGCGTTGCCTGTGGTTCAGGTCAGGCTAGGAGCCAAGAGGCGGGTATGGATGGATAGGGCCCAGGTCGGGCTTTGCGCTACTCTAGTCCACACAGACACACACAGCCTGGGTCTACTGCTGGGAGAGGAAGGGGTGGGTGGGGAGTGATGCCTGAAGTACGGAGCTGTCGCCTCATGTTAGGTCAGAGGCTGCATCAGGGTTAGAGTCTAAATCCGTAATTTACGCTTCGGTTTGCATGCATGCTAAGAATGTGTTTGAGCGCATTTCTTAAACAATATTTGTGTAGGGGTAAAAAGTTCAATCTGCTAGTGTATGTCAATGTGCACGTTATACTGGGCTTTCCTGCATCAAACAGATTATTTTTTAACTTCACTGAATTGTAATGTAACTCATGTTCCATGAATTCAAGTCTTTTTTCCCATTGTATAATTCAGTGCCAAGATGTACCACTCAATATTTAAGGGTATTGGTAAGCAGCAGAAGTCAGTGGAGAGGAGACACAAGTAGTTTAATATTCTGAGAAAGGAACAGGGGGACAAGTCTGCAAGGAGAAGAGGAGGTGAGACAGCGGTGTATTGGAGTCATATCTGGTCCAGCTCTCTGTGCCAAGAGGGAGACAGACAGACTGTGGCCCGCCAGCCTGAATTATGGATGTCTCCTCAAACACACACACACACACCCGTGCGCATACACACACACACGCACAGTGAGTTTCCACCTCGTTCAGAGAGTGTGAGGACAGCCAGAAACAGGGGAAGGAGATGCATAGAGAGAGAGAAAGAACAAAAGGAGTGAGAGAAATGTATCCCAGTCTGAAATGAAATATTACTCAGTTATTCCCATATAACTCAGAGACTGTAAATCAGAGGAGATCCAACTCAGAGATACATTCTAATTATTCACATCAGAATGCAGAGGGTTCTCGCTAAAGGTCAGCCAAAGCTTCTGCACCAATCACAGATGAGTGTGCACAGTGAGGTAAGAGTGAAACATCACCCCATTGGCTACAGGTGTTGCCCCTGGCGATGCACGTTCCAGGAAAACTAGCCAGCCCGTTATGAGCTTAAAGGGGCAATCAGCAGTTGATACATCAATTTCTGTTAAATTAATTATATGTACCCATTGATTCTTAAAGAATATACTGTTGTACCCCCATCAGTACCCAACATATAAGCTTGTTTGTAAACCAATGTTTGTAAACAAAGTAAATGTTAACAAACACTGTATAGCCTCAAAACATGGTTAAAACTATAATTCTGATATCATGGATGGTCAGGTCTTGCATATATAGATCTGTCTATGAATTTGAGACAGTTTACATTTCTCCAGCCCCATCCCTAAGCTTTTTACTGCAACAGGGGCGGGGATGACGTTTTGTTATTGTTTCTACTGCTTATTGCAGCTTTAACTCAGCTCAAACCCGAAAAGCTACTCTTTCAACAGTTACAGAGAGAGAGAATTTGACTTTTAACATGGTCGATTTTTTTAGCTAAGAATGCCTTGAAACGTTCTCTAAAAGCAACATTAGAGCAACGGAGAGAAAGTCAGCTCTTCTCCAGTAAGATTTTCGGAACAAACAGTAAAGCAGGAAATCACTAAGGAAGTGACTATGAGGACTTTGTAGCAAACCATTTCATGTCTGACTGTGTTATTAGCTGGATCATTATCAGAGAGAGGAGAGGAGAGTGGAAGAGAGGAGATGGGGAGTGGGAGGAGGTGGAGGAGGGGGGAGGAAAGGGGAAGAGAGGGGGGAGAGATTTTCTCATGCTAAACAAACATCTAACATACTAAGACTCAACACTACTGTCCCTTCCAGCCTTGTCTATGGGCAGTGATTCATAATAAGTAAATAGTACTACTGTAGGAGTGTTATTGTATTAGTGTCATCCATCTGCCCCTGCCAGCAGGCCTGGTAAAACCCTGTAGGAGTCATTAGTACTGTGCCTGTGGCTAATTAAAATCCTCATCTGACCCCACTTGATTGTTTCATGCATAAATTAGGACCCAATCTCCACAACCGTCAGTGGCAATGCAGTCTATAGAGAGACTACATGGGCTCACTTGAAAAAACATGTAAATCCCAATGTCTTCCCTGGTTAAATAAAGGTTTAAAAAGAAAGAGTAGAGGAGTGTGAGCCATTTTGAAGCTATCAGAGTGCAGAGGATGAGGCGCACACACACCCTGACTAATGTCTATGTCTCCTATATGATAGTATCAACCAGGGGCGATCAGCACAGCACCTTTCTCTACAGCGCTCCATTGATTTGCTTCAGATTGCCTCCGGGCAGGAAGAGCGAACAAACCCCTGCCAGCCACAGAGCCAGCTGATGACCAATTCTCAGAAAAATAAAAATGTCTGGGAAAGAAAGAACCTTGTCTGGAGAGATGAGGAAAGATGAGTGTGTGTGAATGTGAGTGTGTGTGGAATAGAAAATAATGGCAGTGTAAGTAGAGAAGATTAGGAGGAGCAGAGAAGCATCCTCCTATTGTTACTGGAGTGGAGAGATTGAGAGAGAGAGAGAAAGGTGGGCTGGGTTAATGAGAAAGGAGGGGAGAGATATGATGGGAAATGCCTATTGAACAGCTGGGACCCAGAGAGCAATCCATTCCTAGTGTTATTGTTAAAGCCCTGAGTGCTTCAACTGGACTAGGCTCTGAGAATGTATGACAAACCACGGTACTGTGCAGTGGTGATGACAACACTGTGGAAGTTTAGAAGAAGAAGTATGAAGAAGAAGAAGTAGGAAGAAGAAGAAGAAGAAGAAGTAAGAAGAAGAAGAGAAAAGAAGTAGGAAGAAGAAGAAGAAGAAGAGTCGAACGAAGAGAAGAAGAAGTAGGAAGAGAAGAAGACAGTAGACCAGAAAAGATAGGAAGTACGGCCGCCAGCCGACGAAAGAAGAAGTAGACAAGAAGAAGGTATGCCTCCAGCACCGACGCCAAGCAGAAGAGACCAAGCCGCCGCCTCGTCCCCCCTCCTCCCGACGCCTCCCTCCGCCTCCGGCCTGCCGCTCCGCTCCTCCTCGCCGCCTCATCCGCCTCCCCTCCCCGCCGCCCCCCCCGCCTCCCTCCCCCCTCCCCTCCGCCCCGCCCTCCCCTCCCCTCCGCACTCCTCCTCCCCCCGCCTCCCCCTCCCCCCCCCCCCGTCCTTCTCCCCCTTCCGCCTCCCCGGACCACGTGGAGAAAAAAAGGAAGAAGAAGGAAGAAGGAAGAAGAAGACTACATAAAAAAATATCAGCAACCATTAAGGGAACATTGACACGCTTAATACGACTTCAAAGCAGCACGAGCAGAACAGAAGGTGGAATTAATTCTGTTTGAAATGGACTGTGTTAATCCCTTTGTATACAACAACTGGTGTTGATACATTAACACTGAATGAGGGTCCCAATCCCACACACACATAACAGCTGTGTGCTGCTGGAGAATAGATAGGGAATTTACAACACACTACCCATCCATTCTCTACGCTAACTCCAATGCTAATCCTTATAGTACATTTCCATTCACTTCCAAGGGCTTCCGAACTAATGAAAATTAGCAGATTGGAGTGAGTCACTAACAATGGCTGCTCTTACTCAGAACCTGTCAGGATGAGGGCTTCAATACGCTCTTGGCTAATGAGGTGAATCTCCATACAGGTGTCAATCAAAATCAAAATGCTGTGGAGGGGAGGAGAGGAGGAGGAGAGAAGAGACGAAAAGTGACGAGAAGAGAAGAGAACAGAAGAGAAGAAGATAATAAAATGAAAAAGGGATTATATACTGAACAAAACGCAAAATGCAACAATTTCAAAGATTTTACTGAGTTACAGTTCATCAGGAAATCAGTCAATTGAAATAAATTCATTATGACCTAATCTATGGATTTCACATGACTGTTGGTCACAGATACCTTAAAAAAAAGGTAGGGGCGTGGATCAGGAGCTTATGCCTGCCCATACCATAACCCCACCGCCACCATTGGGCACTCTGTTCACAACGTTGACATCAGCAAACCGATCGCCAACACGATGACATACACGTGGTCTGCGGTTGTGAGGCCGGTGGGACATACTGCCAAATTCTCTGAAACAACGATGGGAGACGGTTTATGATAGAGAAATGTACATTCAATTCTCTAGCAACCGCTATGGTGGACAGTCCTGCAGTCAGCATGCCAATTGCATGCTCTCTCAAAACTAGAGACAAGTGGCCTTTTATTGTTCCCAGCACAAGGTGCACCTGTGTAATGATCATGCTGTTTAATCAGCTTCTTGATATGCCACACCTGTCAGGTGTATCTTGGCAAAGGAGAAATGCTCACTAACAGGGATGTAAACAAATTTGTGCACAACATTTTTGAGAAATACGTGTGTATGGAAAATTTATTTCAGCTCATGAAACATGGGACCAACACTTTACATGTTGCGTTTGTATTTTTGTTCCATGTAGATTGAACCTATTAAAGTAACATGCTGTTTCTCAGCAAACAAGCCCAAACAGATGCAGAGACACGAGGGGGTATGAGAAGGTTGTGTGAGAAGAGCTCAGCATGCAGCAGTTATTATGAAACATGAGCACTATAGTCCATTATCGTCCATTTAGGCTTCAAACAGCGAAAAGATTGCTTTCCACTTCACTTAGTCACACAAACAACAGTGTACACCACTCACCCTCCCTGGCCCACTCTGTCAAAAAAACATACAATGTTGAGAGTTATGAAAGTGCTTTTTATTCTACAACATTCAGAAAGACCTAGTTGTGTGTATGCATTTCACATAAGCAGAGTAAAAAAGTAAACTCCTGCCTCCTACACACTTGTCTCCAGTTACACTGTTGACCTCCATCACATTGGCTAGGGGCATACAAGTGACAAGTGACATCAATAAGGGATCATAGCTTTCACCTGGATTCACCTAGTCAGTCTACGTCATGGAAAGAGCAATATTACATGCATCCACAGGGTCCATTCAATGATGGTCACACCTCCATATCACTGTGGCCAACGGCCATTGTGTTACATCCAGTCAGGTCCGTAATTACTGGCACCCTTGATAAAGATGAGCAAAGAACACTGTATAAAATAAACAATACAAATACTGAGCTACTGTATATTGTATGCTCAAAATAATGGGGATATTCTTTTATACTAATACAATTGCTCAAAATAGATTTTGTGACCATAGCAGCAATGCCATTTATCAAACTCCAGGTGGTGCTATGCAGTGGCGTGTCCAGAACATTTAGAATTGGCACAGACCCAGTTTAGTGGAGCCATAACATTTTGAACCTTAAATCAATGCAAGGTGGATCTTTTTCAATATAATCATGATAGTTCAACACCTTAAATGCTTCAGCTTAGGTTTGGTACATTTCCCTATTTAAAGAAATCATAAATCAATGCAAAAAGTATTGTTACAGTGATTTTATATAAGGGTATTAGTATACAGCAGTAAATTCACTTGAAAGTGCTCTACAGAGTGCAAGTTATACTGTGACATCCGAGGGGTCTCAATTTTGTTTTTACGGGACCTCCTGTGTGCACACATTTTTTTTAATAGGCTTTATAGTAAAGACATGTCATTTAATTTTAATTACCTTTTAATGTGTCATGAACACAACCAGTCATGATGTTTTCATCTGATTGTCAAACAAATCACTTCAAAAAGTAGGTTAAGTAGGCTACCTGCGCACGTTCATCTACTCAAAAATAAGTCCATCATCTGAACAGTGCACCCGCCATTTGAATGGAAAGGGACATCTATGAAGTGTAATGACATTCAGCCTACAAAGTGGTGTGTATTCATGGATGCTAATAAAAGCCAGGATTCCCCAAAAAATTTTACATTAAAAAAATAAACAAAATTATTTCTCATTCGTGTCTATCCGTGTATCATTAAAATTAATCATTTAAAAAAAAGACGTTGTGATGGACTACTTTCTGCACATGGTCAGTGTGAACCGGAGTGACTTGACACAACGGCCCAAACAAGCTGTCGCTAGCTACAAAACCAAATGGAAAAGACACGCTGCCATGAGGCGTTCATCCATGTATACAGGTAAGAGTCTAGCTAAAATGTTGGATATTATACGTTTCTAATTTTGTCAGAAAGTCATTTTCATTGCAAGTTAAAGCGTACTGTTCGCTAGCTAGCGAACGTTAGCTTGCTGGCTCGCTAGCTAACGTTACGTGTATGATCTGTGTAATAATATTATTTGAATCTCAGAAAACCATTTGCATTGCTACTTATAGCGTAATAGTAGCTAGCTAGCTAACATTGAACCTAGTTGGTTAGCTTTAGCTACCTGCAGATTCATACTACAGCATTTCATGCATGGTGGCTAGCTATGACAATCCGTTTGTACTGTAGCTATGGGTTGGGATTACGGTTCATTATTTAGCTAGCTAGCCAGCTAGCTACATGTCTAAACAAAATACTCCACTTCGCCAGATGATTACACGACCCATCAAGTTAGCTAGGTGTGTCTGGAGGTGATTACGGCCATCTATTGTATTTCATGAACATCCACTTATCTAGATGTGGCTGGGGGGTGGTTACAGCATTTATTTCACATGACCCATCAATTTAGACAAGTTTGTCTGGGAAACCATCATCTAATAATTATAAAATATTTATAAAATATTTGTATCTGGACACGTTCTATTTTTGATATTGCTACTATGCAAATATGCAAGTAACCATTTCACTGTACCCTTTACACCTTCTGTATCCTGTGCATGTGACAAACTTTGATTTTATTTGATATAGTCTGTTTCCCAGAGACGGTAATGTAAAGAACAACATGACCTGCACCAAAGTCAGATTAGGATATAGTTTTTCCTTATTGTAGGCTACTACTTTCACCACTTTTAGTCTTGAAATAGTTGGTTGTTTACTACACTACCTTACTCACTCTGTTTAGCACATGGCATCACATGTGAATCTTTAAAGAGATGGATGGGGCTAAGGTTTAAGAGGGTATGAAAGATGCTGAATGGGTGTAGACAAAGAAGGTCCTTGAATGTACCAAAACATTCAAGGACCATTTCTTGAAAAGTGGGGTTACAAGTTTATGAACTTTCAAAGCAGAATTACCTTCACATTGTTCCTCAACTGTTGTGTATGATATACAATTTTCTAGCTCTGAGTCTCTACTTTTATCCAATGTAAAAAACACAATTTCAAATGTTGCTACATAAGACCGCATCGAGCCGGTCGGTCACATAAACTGAACAAAAATATAAACTCAACAGGTAAAGTGCTGGTCCCATGTTTCATGAGCTGAAATAAAATATCTCAGAAATGTTCAATACGCACAAAAATCACATTTCTCTCAAATTGTGTGCACAAATTTGTTTACATCCCTGTTAGTGAGCATTTGATCCTTTGTCAAGATAATCCATCCACCTGACAAGTGTGGCATATCAAGAAGCTGATTAAATAGCATGATCATTACACAGGCCATTCTAAAATGTGCAGTTTTGTCACACAACACAATGCCACAGATGTCTCAAGTTCTGAGGGAGATTGCAATTGGCATGCTGACTGCAGGAATGTCCACCAGAGCTGTTTCAGATCATTTAATGTTAATTTCTCTACCATAAGCTGCCTCCAATGTCGTTTTAGAGAATTTGGCAGTACGTCCAAAAGGCCTCACAACCGCGGATGACGTGCAACCACGCCAGCCCAGGACCTCCACATCCATCTTCTTCACCTGCGGGATCGTCGGGGGGTGGGGGAGCTGAAGAGTATTTCTGTCTGTAATAAATCCCTTTAGTGGGGAAAAACTCATTCTGATTGGCTGAGCCTGGCTCCCAAGTGGGTGGGCCTATGCACTCCCAAGCCCACCCATGGCTGCGCCTCTGCCCAGTCATGTGGAATCCATAGATTAGGGCCTAATGAATTTATTTCAATTGACTGATTTCCTTATATGAACTGCAATTTTTGTTCAGTATATATCCATCTATTATCCATAGAGTCTTTGGTATTCTGCCAATACCTTATTGATTGGTAGAGGAAGTAAACGTAGCTCTCACATGGATAGGTCAGAGATCTCAGTGTCACACCAGCCTTCGCTTTGGCTCCCCCACCTGTCCAGCTCAGGAGTTCGGCGTCGCCGGCCTTCTAGCTGCTGCCGAACCTGTTGCTGGCAAACGCCCTTCACTCATCAACCCCGGACTTGTCTCGTCATCATTACCCACACCTGGTTCCAATCCCCACTCTATCACTGTATATATACTCCCTCTGTCATTTGTCTTTGTCGGTCATTGTATATGTTGCTTGTTTTCCCTAAGTACTTTATATTTTGCACTGTGGGTTTTGTCCCGCTTTAAGCTATGGTGCTTTAATAAATTCAGTAGTTCTAAACCTGCGACTGCCTCCTTCCTACTCCTCTCTACACCTGTGACACAGCCTCTGGATTGTCATGTATTACTCCTATATGACGGGAGGAGAGACATCCACCTCTACATACATACGTCAGCTGTCTCATTGACATTCAGTGTTATTTATATGGCCGGGACGATTTACCAGTATCGCAAAATATTTTTTCCAAGGCAAAAATGTGAACACGAAGCAGACCAAACTCTTTGGTCCTTTAAAAACCTCCGGTATGCCAAATATTGTGTGCTATAGCTTGGAAAATAAATAAATGTGACTCTGGATGACAACATAATGATGTTTGTTTCCAATGTTAGGGCTGTTTTCCTAAAGTAGTTCAATCTGCTTCGTGTTTTGTTTCCTTGCCGCTGGTATCGTCCCGGCCCTAGTTATTTATATTCATTTACATGTATTTGACTGAGAACACATTCACAGCAGTAACCTGAGGGTAGATTCATTGACAGCACATGACTACACTTCCTGACCTACACAGGAGGGTCAGTGCCAGTGATGATGACCCTCAGGCGACAGCTCAAAACAGGAACAACCTCCTACACGTCAGTCTGTATAGGACTGACCACATGCTGAGAGGAAAGAGCTCCATCTCAATGAGATGTTGTGTTCGATTGAAAAAAAACTCTCCTCTCCTCCTCTGACTGCCACTGACAATGGAAACGCTCAACGAAATACTGAGAGCGCTCCGACTGTGTAAGGGTCAATGCACCACATGTTATTCTGCTCCCCTACCTACCCACCCCTGTTGTACAATATCACACATGATCCATGACCTTTAGATGAGAAGTGTTGTCAAAATGGCCATTCTGTGTCTCTCATTTCTTCACAGACCTCTCTCACTCTCGTTCTCTGTCTTTGATTCTCTGACTCTCCCCATCTCTGTCTCTCTAAACCTTTCCCTCTCTTCCTGTTTCACTGTTCGATCCATGCTGTGCAGTGCTAGCCTGAGTAGCCTTCCCCTGTGAGTCTTATGAAAGTCAGAACGTGTGTGTGGGCGAGCGTTCCGCTACGCACCACTGCACACACTCAGCCACCATCGCCCATTCAGCCATGGACTAGAGGGCCTGAATGAACACACACACATGCACACGCACATAGTTCACTCTCCTCACGTCCCCCTACACCGGACTTCACATCTGCACACCTGTCAATCTCTCTCTCTTCTTCTTTCTCTCTCTCTCTTTCTTCTCTCTCTCTCTCTTCTTCTCTCTCTTTTTCTCTCTCTCTCTCTCCTTTCTCTTGCTCTCTCTTTTCTATATGAATAAACGAGGGAATGCAGGATTGAGAGGTTCTTCCACTCCGTCTCTGCATTCACACTGTAGAGAGAGCATGCAGTGTCACTCACCCTCCTTTGATGTAGTCGAGGAAGGTGACTTCTATATCCACCAGGAATGAGAGCAGTGTTACCTGGAGACGATAGGGATACAAGGATGGCAGGATGGAACGGGCTTTACAATAAAGACAATGACTAAATCAAGCTCACATCAATGTGTTAGTTCTCTGTTCTAGAGGCGAAAAACATAAAGATAAAGAGACTGGATGGACAGTGTCTGCTGTGGCTTACCGTTCCAGAGTTTAGGTATTTTTTCTTTTTTCCTTTCTTCTTCGGATTTACCACCTGTGGACAAAACAGCAGCCTCATTACAGAATTCAAACATACACATTATAACACAGTAATACACAAAGGTTAGAGGTCATGGAATTAATCTCACAGGCCAGGAATGCTCCCTCTATCTCACTCACTCACACGCCATGCTGCAATCCTTGACTGGGAAGTGCAGCATACAATGTTTTAATCTGAGCTGTAAAGTGTTAAATTAAACCGTGTGGAGGTCAGCAGGCCGTACAAACCCTCGGGGAGAAAACATCCGATAAGTCCTAAATGGCACTCTATTCCCTTAATAGTGCACTACTTTTGACCTGGGCCCATAGGGTGCACTAAAGTGCACTATAAGGGAAGAGGGTGCAATTTACACTGGATTTATAACCCTCTGCATCCTTGGTGGAGATTGGAGGGAATAAGTAAGGAAGGGCACATTTGCCTTTGAAGGTGAGGCTAGCTGTTTTATTGCATCTGGCTTGTAAAATACAATTTACATTAACGCGCCCATCCCCCCCATGGTTGTGCATGCACGCCATAAAGAATTCACACACACACACACACACACACACACACACACACACACACACACACACAGTGACAGCTGGTTTCCCTTGTGTTGTGTTCAGTAACTGCTCTGGCAAGAGTAGATGTCACATCAAGTCAACAGATAGACAGAGAGGACCAGGGAGACAGGAGCTGCTCACAAGTCAACAGATAGACAGAGAGGACCAGGAGACAGGAGCTGCTCACAAGTCAACAGATAGACAGAGAGGACCAGGGAGACAGGAGCTGCTCACAAGTCAACAGATAGACAGAGAGGACCAGGGAGACAGGAGCTGCTCACAAGTCAACAGATAGACAGAGAGGACCAGAGGAGACAGGAGCTGCTCACAAGTCAACAGATAGACAGAGAGGACCAGGGAGACAGGAGCTGCTCACAAGTCAACAGATAGACAGAGAGGACCAGAGAGACAGGAGCTGCTCACAAGTCAACAGATAGACAGAGAGGACCAGGGAGACAGGAGCTGCTCACAAGTCAACAGATAGACAGAGAGGACCAGGGAGACAGGAGCTGCTCACAAGTCAACAGATAGACAGAGAGGACCAGGGAGACAGGAGCTGCTCACAAGTCAACAGATAGACAGAGAGGACCAGGGAGACAGGAGCTGCTCACAAGTCAACAGATAGACAGAGAGGACCAGAGAGACAGGAGCTGCTCACAAGTCAACAGATAGACAGAGAGGACCAGAGAGACAGGAGCTGCTCACAAGTCAACAGATAGACAGAGAGGACCAGGGAGACAGGAGCTGCTCACAAGTCAACAGATAGACAGAGAGGACCAGGGAGACAGGAGCTGCTCACAAGTCAACAGATAGACAGAGAGGACCAGAGAGACAGGAGCTGCTCACAAGTCAACAGATAGACAGAGAGGACCAGGGAGACAGGAGCTGCTCACAAGTCAACAGATAGACAGAGAGGACCAGGGAGACAGGAGCTGCTCACAAGTCAACAGATAGACAGAGAGGACCAGAGAGACAGGAGCTGCTCACAAGTCAACAGATAGACAGAGAGGACCAGAGAGACAGGAGCTGCTCACAAGTCAACAGATAGACAGAGAGGACCAGAGAGACAGGAGCTGCTCACAAGTCAACAGATAGACAGAGAGGACCAGAGAGACAGGAGCTGCTCACAAGTCAACAGATAGACAGAGAGGACCAGGGAGACAGGAGCTGCTCACAAGTCAACAGATAGACAGAGAGGACCAGGAGACAGGAGCTGCTCACAAGTCAACAGATAGACAGAGAGGACCAGGGAGAACAGGAGCTGCTCACAAGTCAACAGATAGACAGAGAGGACCAGAGAGACAGGAGCTGCTCACAAGTCAACAGATAGACAGAGAGGACCAGGAGACAGGAGCTGCTCACAAGTCAACAGATAGACAGAGAGGACCAGGGAGACAGGAGCTGCTCACAAGTCAACAGATAGACAGAGAGGACCAGGAGACAGGAGCTGCTCACAAGTCAACAGATAGACAGAGAGGACCAGGAGACAGGAGCTGCTCACAAGTCAACAGATAGACAGAGAGGACCAGGAGACAGGAGCTGCTCACAAGTCAACAGATAGACAGAGAGGACCAGAGAGACAGGAGCTGCTCACAAGTCAACAGATAGACAGAGAGGACCAGGGAGACAGGAGCTGCTCACAAGTCAACAGATAGACAGAGAGGACCAGGGAGACAGGAGCTGCTCACAAGTCAACAGATAGACAGAGAGGACCAGGGAGACAGGAGCTGCTCACAAGTCAACAGATAGACAGAGAGACCAGGGAGACAGGAGCTGCTCACAAGTCAACAGATAGACAGAGAGGACCAGGGAGACAGGAGCTGCTCACAAGTCAACAGATAGACAGAGAGGACCAGGGAGACAGGAGCTGCTCACAAGTCAACAGATAGACAGAGAGGACCAGGGAGACAGGAGCTGCTCACAAGTCAACAGATAGACAGAGAGGACCAGGGAGACAGGAGCTGCTCACAAGAGGCGTGTGTGTTTCACAAGTAAAGGAGAAGATGGTGATCATCGGGCACGATGGACAACCATAGGCAGTGTTTGTGTGTGTGTGTGTGTGTGTTTGTTTGTGTGTGTGTGTGAAGGGGCAATGTGTATAACAGAGATCGGGGCCCATGCTGGGCATTAGGTGATGACTGTTAACAGATGGACAGATGGTTAAGGGAAGAAGGAACACACACACACACAAACACACACAAACACACAGACAGCAGTGATGTGGAACCTCCTCTCCTAAATTGTAACATTTACAGTGGAGGGAAAAAAACGAGAATATGGAAGCCAAGAGCTGTGACTTGGGAAATGATGATAGATTCTCATGTCCCAGTGACAGCATCTTGGATGACAGCACACAATCACTGTCTGAGTGCGTCTTCCTTCTCTCATTAGACAAACACCAGCTGCTTAAAATAAGGGTTCCCCTGTGTGCTTCCCACTCAGAATATTGTTTGTTAATGAACAACTGTTCAGTCCTATCTTAGGAGACGGAGAGTGGAGGCTGGCCATCCATCAAAACTCCCTTTTACGTCAAACTCTGTGAATTAAATTTCAGGAGAAATGCCATGAAGAATCTTTCCAGAGGAGATTTACTAAATGTGCTTCTGTGTGGGTGAGTGACGTTAAGAGTATATAGATACATACAGTGCATTCGGAAAGTATTCAGACCCTTTCCCCGTTTCCTCCTTTTGTTACGTTACAGCCTTATTCTAAAAGGTATGTCGTGGAAATTCTTACACAGGGACACCCGAAGTCAATCTTAAATGAATCATTGTTTATTATCAGCGCGCTGGAGAGGTTCCAACCAACTCAATGCACCATGTACACATGTTGATCAGGAGCTCTCACGGGGCAGTCCTGTGAGTTAATAATAATAATATGCCATTTAGCAGACGCTTTTATCCAAAGCGACTTACAGTCATGCGTGCATACATTTTTGTGTATGGATGGTCCCGGGGATCGAATGCACTACTGTGGCGTTACAAGCGCTGTGCTCTACCAGCTAAGCTACAGAGGACCAGTTCTCTTATATACTGCAGACAAGTCATATTTGCATGATTTCTCTTATTCATAATTAATTCATCACTACCATTTGCTTCATTCATGTGACCGACCAATACTGGGTCATGCATGTGACAGACCAATACCTCACGAGGCTTCTTCTCTAAGCTGAGACCTTGAAACTGATATATTTCATTCTCAAAACAAGGGTCTGGGCGTACTGCCAAATTGCAGATACTGATAGATAGGATTCGCTCAGTCAGTCACTTGCATGAACACAGAAAACGGTTATTAGAAAAGCACATGAAAAGAACACAGATATTGTTATTAGAAAAGCACAAAAACTAAAGTTTCCATCACAGGTATTAAATCCAGGCTCTGTCGTAGCCGGCCACGACCGGGAGACCCATGGGGTGGCGCACAATTGGCCCAGCGTCGTCCAGGGTAGGGGAGGGACTGGCCGGCAGGGATGTAGCTCAGTTGGTAGAGCATGGCGTTTGCAATGCCAGGGTTGTGGGTTCGATTCCCACGGGGGGCCAGTATGAAAAAAATAAAAATTATTATAATACCCTTAGCTATGAGACTCGAAATTGAGCTCAGGTGCATCCTGTTTCCATTGATCATCCTTGAGATGTTTCTACAACTTGATTGGAGTCCACCTGATGTAAATTCAATTGATTGGACATTATTTGGAAAGGCACACCTGTCTATATAAGGTCCCACATTGCATGTCAGAGCAAAAACCAAGCCATGAGGTCGAAGGAATTGTTCGTAGAGCTCCGAGACAGGATTGTGTCGAGGCACAGATCTGGGGAGGGGTACCAAAACATTTCTGCAGCATTGAAGGTCCCCAAGAACACAGTGGTCTTCATCATTCTTAAATGGAAGAAGTTTGGAACCACCAAGACTCTTCCTAGAGCTGGTCGCTCGGCCAAACTGAGCAATCGGGGGAGAAGGGCCTTGCTTGGTCAGGGATGTGACCAAGAACCCAATGATCACTATGACAGAGCTCCAGAGTTCCTCTGTGCAGATGGGAGAACGTTCCAGAAGGACAACAATCTCTGCAGCACTCCACCAATCAGGCCTTTATGGTAGAGTGGCCAGACGAAAGCCACTCCTCAGTAAAAGGCACATGATAGCCTGCTTGGAGTTTGCCAAAAGGCACCTAAAAGACTCTGACCACGAGAAACAAGAATCTCTGGTCTGATGAAACCAAGATTGAACTCTTTGGCCTGAATGCCAAGCGTCACGTCTGGAGGAAACCTGGCACCATCCCTATGGTGAAGCATGGTGGTGGCAGCATCATGCTGTGGGGATGTTTTTCAGCGGAAGGGACTGGGAGACTTAAGTAAATGTGATATTTCCATTCTTTTTTTTTATACATTAGCAAACATTTCTATAAAACTGTTTTTGCTTTGTCAATATGGGGTATTGTGTGTAGATTGATGAGGAAAATAAACAATTTAATCAATTTTAGAATAAGGCTGTAACGTAAGAAAATGTGGAAAAAGTCAAGGGGTTTGAATACTTTCCGAATGCACTGTAATATCCTATTCCACCAAGCACACATACATACGTAAACATGACGCATGCACACATGTAAACACACACAACCACACACACACACACACACACACACACACACACACTTACCTCATACACATTGAACTGGGACTGGCCTCTGGACAGCTCTCTGTAGCTGGTACTGAACTCTCCTATGAAGTCATGGCTAAAGACAACGCACAAAACAATCATTAGTATAATCATAGCATTTCAAATACACAACCCACAAAGCACAACTGTTAGTGGCAGAAGCCTGATCAATGTGCCTATGAAGAAGTGTATTATAATAGTCTGGTGGATGGAATGAGATCAGTTGAGATAAGTTATTATTAATGAAATGTTAAAGCAATAAAGAGTGAGATAGATATCGACATTTAACAATTATTTGAGAGTAATTAAGTAGAGATTTCACTTGTGTTTTTCATGCAGCCACTTAAGGGTACAGTAGCATACAGTGCCGTGAAAAAGTATTTGCCCCCTTTCTGATTTTCTCTATTTTTGATACTGATATCAGATCTTCAACAAAAACCTAATATTAGATAAAGGGAACCTGAGTTTACAATTAACAAAGTTATGCAACACCCAATGCACCTGTGTGAAAAAGGAATTGCCCCCTTACGCTCAATAACTGGTTGTGCCACCTTTAGCTGCAATGATTGCAACCAAATGCTTCCTGTAGTTGTTGATCAGTCTCTCACATCGCTGTGGAGGAATTTTGGCCCACTCTTGCATGCAGAACTGCTTTAACTCAGCAACATTTGTGGGTTTTCAAGCATGAACTGCTCGTTTCAAGTGTTGTCACAACATCTCAATTGGGACTAGGTTTGGACTTTGACTAGGCCATTCCAAAACTTCAAATGGATTGCTTTATAGCCATTTTCATGTAGACTTGATTGTGTGTTTTGGATCATTGTCTTTCTGCATGACCAAGCTGCGCTTCAGCGTCAACTCACAGACGGACGGCCTGACATTCTCCTGTAGAATTATCTGATACAGAGCAGAATTCATGGTTCCTTCTATTAAGGCAAGTCGTCCAGGTCCTGAGGCAGCAAAGCATCCCCAAACCATCACGCCACCACCACCATGCTTGACCGTTGGTATGAGGTTCCTACTATGGAATGCAGTGCTTGGTTTTCGCCAGGCATAATGTGAACCATGTAGTCCAAAATGTTGACTCAAGTTTGCCAAAAAGCACCTGGAAGCACCTGAATGATCATCAATACTCTTGGAAGAATGTTCTATGGACAGATGATTCAAAAGTATAACTTTTTGGATGACAAAATTCCTCCACAATGACTGATCAACAACTACAGGAAGCGTTTGGTTGGAGTCCTTGCAGCTAAAGGTGGCACAACCAGTTATTGAGTGTAAGGGGGCAATTAGTTTTTCACACAGGGGCATTGGGTGTTGCGTAACTTTTTTTAATGAAATAAATGAAATAAGTATGTAATTGTTGTGTTATTTGTTTGCTCAGGTTCCATTTATCTAATATTAGACTTTGGTTGAAGATCCTATAACATTCAGTATCAAAAATATGCAAAAGTAAAGAAAATTAGGAAGGGGGCAAATACTTTTTCATGGCACTGTATATTCAATGCACTTCCTTAAAATAAAGTGAATTCGGAAACAAAGCGTAACCCCTCTACCTGCAAGCAAAGAGAGATCTGGTAACACTTGACATAACGCTGACAGGTATAAAGAGGAGACGAGACAGAGGGAGTGAGTGCATACTTTAAAGTAATACCCCAGTGCAATAACCTTGCCCACTAAACCCATAATATGAAATGATGACACTCATATCAAGTTGGTGTTTCTTTTACTGCTGCCCCGCCCTTGGCCCCGCCTCTGTTTATGGGCCAATCCAATTCCCCCACTTCAACAACATGTCAATGTGTGTTGAATGAATCAGCATCCAATCCAGCTTCCTTACCTTCTAGAAATATAGATTAGGATGAGTTAAAGTAGCCTAATTTAGATAACACAGTGATTACATCATGCTAATGAAGGTGCTTTTCAATTAAGACTCAAATTAAATTACCTTCCATCTCTGTCCCAGTCGTAGCATTCTATCTTGATCGTTCTAGTAGGGTGAAAAATAACAATATATTAGAAACAGATTTATTTAGTTTTAACAGGACAATTATCAGCAGAAACTATGATCATGGCATTGTACATTCCCCCCAAACAAGTTTCAAGTTCAAATGTATTGTATTCTGAAGGAGGATAGTTTATAGTAATATATATCATGTCTATATTGGTTTCCAAAATAGCAAATGTTAGAGAGAGAAAAGCAGTGCCCTTCCACTATCACCCATCCCCTCAAACTGAAGAATCATTTTTCCACTGACAAGTGGCCATTTTCCTTCACCAGAGCCAAGAGATAAGTAGCTGACTGTGGCTGTGCGTATTTCACCCAGCACCAATTTCACCTACCTCAATTTCACCTCTCTTTCCAGACGAGAAAAAATAAAGAAGAAAATAATGAACAGATGCTTAGATGAAAAGGTAATCATAGATTATAGATTTCCACCGGGTGAGAAATCACAGGTTAATGAGTTTCCTGTAGGGGTAAGTAAGGGGGTATGATGATGTAGTCCCGTGTAGCTCAGTTGGTAGAGCATGGCGTTTGCAACGCCAGGGTTGTGGCTTCGATTCCCACGGGGGGCCAGTATGAAAAAAAAAATTGTACACACTCACTAACTGTAAGTCGCTCTGGATAAGAGTGTCTGCTAAATGACTAAAATGTAAAATGTAAATGATAAGAGGAGGCACACTCCGGCATTGTCAGAGCACAAAGATAGACACAGACACACAGAAACACACACACACAAGTATGCACACATACACGCACACACACAAACACACACGCTCTGCTCAGCTTCCTGCTAAATGGAGTGAAGGATGAGCCCATCACCATCCATCTAAGCTAACTAGATAAAAGGCTGAGGAGATAGAGCCATCCAGCTCTACATCCTGCTCCTTCTGTAATCCCTGGGGTGGCGGGAGAAGTGTGTATGTGTGGGAGTGTGTGTCTCTAACAAGGGCCCATCAGCAGTGGTACTATCAGCAGGGGGACACACAGCTCTCCATTGTTAGCGTTCTCCCGTGGCTCTCGTCCCAGACCCCCAGAGACTCACACTCTCGCTGTGTGTGTGTGCGTAAATCAATGTGTGTGTGTGTGTGTGTGCTTCCTTGGCTTCCCACACTCTCCACACACTGATAACAATGAGCTCTCTCTAACTAACCTCCTAACAACTCAGACAGAGCCAGGGCCCAGCTCTGCTCCAATCAATGCAGGCTGACAAGCTCAGACCATCCATCTGGGGCTTTGTGCCTTATCACTGGCAAACAAGCCTGCTGACAACTGGAGATGAACACAAACACAATCCCTGAGATGGGATTGCAGAGTGACACACACACATTGTCCTATACATTACGCACACATGCACACAACACGCACACACACACACATGCACAAACTCTGGGGATTTCAAACTTAGGGGTGAAAAACTATTTCATCGCTTCTTACACCCTGGATTTAAGGGCCAATGCATTTGAGTGAGGGCATGACACCTGTCTGTCAGTCAGGCATGTGAATAGACTACTCCACTGAGGGAGAAAGATGATTGCAGAGAGGAAGGCTATTCATAAGCAGACCAAGCATTAATTTCTTTCATTATAATAGCTTCCATATGGATTTAGTATGCATGCATGGTGATTCTTATAAAATGGAGCCCATCTAAAAACTATTTTCTCCTCTTCCAGATTAGATCCTGTCACCAAATCATTTTTGCAAAGGGCTCAAATTGTTTAAAAAAAAGTATGGCCCTCACACACTTCAGCAAAACAGTTAATGCCAGTATAATCTTGCTGGCCACACTACACACACACACACACACACTGACCTGTCGTAGTCTCCATTGCAGAGTGCTCTGACAGGTATCTTGAAGGCCTGCCACACTGGGTTTAGTGTGTTCTTCACCACCTCTGTCTTATGGCAGATTGTGAACCTGGAGAAACACAGCGACAAGACAAGTCATACACTGATCAATGGATGAATCAATCACTGGACAATACTCCTTTCACTGTTCCTCTTTATCCCCTTCTCTTTTTTCCACCTCTTCCTCTCTTTCTCTCCCTCGCTCTCATTCCCTCAGGGTGTCTGTGCAAAGTTATAGTTAGCGAGACAGACTTTCTTCCTTTTCTCAAGATTTTTCTCAAGTGTAAACCTCTCTCTTTGACTCTCAGCTCCCTCAGATCTTTCTTCCCCCCAAGAAGATAAATCACACTCATTTAGTGATACAAATCTCTAAGACATTGATTCCTCTTTTCCGTACTTTGCCAAAATATCGAGCAATAAAAAAACTTTTCAAATGTCATCATGATGACCGGCACAAAAAAATAATCTGTTTCAGTTCGACGACCAATTACTATCAACTGAGGAATACTCAGTATAATCATAATTCACTGCAAAAGCAAATGGTTTTAAAATGAACATAGTGCAGTGTAGAACATGAGCTCCGAGAGCTTCACCTTCCATTAACTGATAGTGAAGAGAGAAGAATGGAAAGAGAGAGAATAGAGAAGAGAGAAGAGAAAGAGAAGAGAGAAGAGAGAAGATAGAGAGATAGAGAGAGTCTAGAGGAGATGAGCGAGAGAGGAGATAATAAACCATAAGAGAGAAGATATAGCAGATCTCTCCCTACTCTCTCTCTCCTATATCAATCCCGCTATATCCTACCATCTCGGCTCTCTCTCTTCTCTTCTCCTCTCTACTCTCTCTCTTCTCTTCTCCCTCTCTCTCTCTCTCTCTTCTCTCCACCTTCTTCCTCTCCCTCTCTCTCTCCTCTATCTTCCTCTCTCTCTCTTCTTCTCTCCCTCCGCCTCTCTCTCTCTCTCTCTCTCCTCTCCCCTCTCCCTCTCCTCCGCTCTAGCTCGCTCTCTCTCTCTACTCTCGATACGCTTCTCTCCTCGCTCCTACTTTTTTGACCTCCTGTACCAGAGAGGCCGGAGGCCATAGGGAGCTTTCCTCCGACCACTGCTCCCACTAGGTCAATCTCCCTCTCTGCTCTGCCGGCTGTTATGATAGGTGTGTGTGTGTGTGTGTGTAATAAAGCCTCGCCTCAGAGGAGTAGACCTGCTTATCTGACCTCCCAGATATGTGTTGATGCGAGAGAAGACCCTGTAGGCTGTAACACACACACACACACCCACAAACCCACAGAGAGAGTCAAGATTGTTTAACTAAAGGAATACAATGGAAACTAATTTCCCTCAGATTGAGAGACTTAGATGGAGTTGAATGGAGGAGAGGATCTGAAAAGAGTAGGTAAGTATCTCGTTCCACTTCATTGCTCGTAGAATACGAGGTAACCCCTTTTCTTTTCCCCTTCCTTTTCCCCCCCCCTTTTTTCCTCCCTTTTTTCCTTCTTTTTTTTTTTTTTTTGGGGGGTTCTTTTTTTTTTTTCCCCTTTTTTTTTTTCCCCCCCTTTCCCCCCCCCCTTTTTTTCTCCTCCCCCTTTTTTCCCCCCTTTTTCCCCCCCCTCTTTCCCTCTTTTTTTTCTTTCCCCCTTTTTTTTCCCCCCCCAAAACCCGGGGCCCAAAACTTTCCCCACCCTCCCCCCTGGTTTTTCCCCCCTCCTTTTCTCCGGGCCCTTTTGGTTTGGGGTTTTTTTTAATAAGCCCCCAAGGACCTTTTATCCCCCCGGGTTTGGCAAAAACCCTTGCTGAAAACCCCCCCCCCAAAAAAAAAAGGGGGAAAAGATTTTTTCCCCCAAAAAAAAAATAATTTCCTCTTGGTTTTGGGGTTAAATGGGGGAGGTTGGGGTTAAAAAAAAACTCCCCCAAATTCCTGCAAAATTTCAAGGGGGTTCCGAAAAATTTTTCCTGTCCAAAAACCCAAAAAAACCAAAACCCTAAGAACAAGAAATTTTTAATGAAAAAGAGGGGAAGAAATTAAGGGGAGATCTTGGGCCCTTTGGTGGGAAAACAAAGTGATAGAAAAAACTTGAAAATAAATCCCCAGACTAATTTTTTAAAAAAGAAGACCCCCTTAAATTAAAACCAGCAAATTTTTTTGATTGTGGATATTGGAATGGGGGTTTTGGGTTAAGGGGGAAAATTTTTTGGGGGTGACCCCAAAACCCCCTTTTAATTCCCCCCCCCTACCCCCCCTTTTTTCCCTCTTTTTTTTTAAAATTTTTTTAATTTTGGAATGTTTTTTAAAAACAAAAAAACCCTTTTTTTTTAAAAACAAACCCTTTCCCCTAGAACACAAATTGGTTGTAATTTCTCTTTCTAAAAAAAAAAAACCCCTTCCCCTCCCCCCTTTGGGGGAAAAAAAAAATTTTTTTAAAAATTTTCCCCCCCCCCCCCCAACCCCCCCCCCCCCTTTTTCCCCCCTTCCCCTAAAGGAAAAAATTTGGAAAGGCGAAGAGGAGGAGCGAGAGAGAAAGAGGAGGGTCACTCGTCAAAGGAGACACCGTATCCAGTTTCCAAACACAACCACACACCCAATACAAGCCCCTTGACAACACATCCCTCCTCAAGAACCCATCACGTAAAGGACAAAAAATAAACTTTAAATGGACCACTGAGGCATGGTAAGAAACCAGTGACATTAGTTGTCTTAACTTCTGAGAAAGAGTAATCTTCAAAATACTGATGACTAGCACTGTCATAGCACTAGCCAGGCCCACCTTGCAGAAATGGACTCAGGCAGTCATTTAGGCAGCCTGAAATTGGGGTCGAGGACCCCAGCCTAAGAGTAATACAAGTCCCCTTCACTTAGCCAGCAGGACCGAAGGAGAGAGCTGATAGACCTATCAAAAGGACATGGATCCGGATGGGTTTTTTGTATCAGTGCTTTATATTGGGAAGAACAGTTATCTCTTTTAACCCAGAAACCAATAGCCTACCTCTTTTGAAGGATGAGAGTAAACTTGCAAAAGAAGAAAATGAAAAGGTTTCTATCTATTTCTCTCTCTCTCTCTCTCTCTCTGACAATTCACCTAGGTCATTTGTACTGTCCAGTGTTACCTTCCCTTTCCTCAACCCATTCTCCTCACAGTATTATGTAAGTAATACAAAAATGACACTTTAGGATTATGTTCCATATTGCAAATCAACTGTTGATTAAGCCCTAAACCCTCTGTATTTTATGATGGGGGAAACGACTCCAATTGGAGATGGAATTAGACCAGGGTCTCTATTCACAGAGTCTCAGAGTAGGAGTGCTGATCTAGGATCAGGCCCCCCTGATTAATCGCGCGGTCTGCTTGGAGAGTCCATGTACGAGCATTCGCAAATTTGCAAAATCAATACCACATGTAATCAACTAGGCCTATCACTTTGTCTAGCCAGTAGCGATGCTAATGATAACTGTCTTGTGGGTAAATAGAAAGGATTTCCCCAAAACCTTCTCAACCTTTAAATGTTAAATGCAAAGTAGGCCTACCTGGCAGAATTATGTCATGCTTTGTATCAATCAGGTGGGCATTTGTTTTGCAAACTCTGCTACAGAAACATCGCTAGCAAAACACGTTCCTCTCTAGCTAGGTGTGCACTTGAATTACACTCAAAAGGCAAAATATGTTCAATATTTCTGAGATGTCAAATTGTTTCTTTGGATTTGATTTGTGCATTGACATGGACTCAGAACACCCCATTTTGTTGTTTCTCTATAAAAAGTGTAATTGTGAGAGTGAAAAACTGAACTTCACACTTGAGAGTATTTTCACACTGATCCTAGATCAGCACCCCTAGGCCTACTCTGATCCGCTTTATGAATACAGGCGCAGCCGCTCTTACAGAAAAGCTTCACTGTGAATGTGCTGTTCTAATCTCAGAATGTCAACAAAAAGGAGAATTTAAAACTGTAGCAGTCGATTCCACAGCATACAGTGAAAGCCCCGATAGGAAATCCTGCTGTAGATGCGTTAATAACAGGATTACACACACAAATAGGAGTCAGACAGGGTTTCACAAGTATTCCTCAAGTCCTCTCCTCCAGTAATAGACAACTATGGATTTGGATTGTCACTTACAAATTCCCAGTCAGTCACTCTCTCTCACTCTCTTTCCCGTTGTGTGTGTGTGTACGTGAGCATTTCCATGCATATGTGTGTGTGTGTGTAGTGCCTCAAAAAGGCTAGCTCTAAAAGTGTGCCGCTGAATGCAGCAGAACAGCGGTGCACTGTAACCTTCAGGCACAGCCACTCACTCTAAATAGAATAGAGTCATTTCAGACCGAACCTGCATCCCAAATGGCATCCTATTCCCTAAATTGTGCACTACTTTTGACCAGGGCCCATATGGATCTGGACAAAAGTAGTGCACAATTTAGGGAATAGGGTGCCATTTGGGACACACACAAGCTGATTGATGCCTGACTAACCAGATCAGCACAATTCAGATCTGCTGCCATATTACGACCCCCATGAACGACACTTAACGTCACCTTAACTGCCTCCTCCCTATGCTTATTTGAATAGGAGTGGTTGAATGAAAGATCCCTTTATTCTCTTCTGTCTCCCCCTGTCTTTCTTGCCTTGGTGCCAACACACGCATGCGCATGCAAGCAAGCAGACCAGAGCTGCACCAGAAGACACACACTGTGACTGTGAATGTGTACTGATGAGGGGCCACACAGTAGGCTAAACAAAGCAGCTCCGTCCCATCCCATCACATCCAATTCAGTGGGTCAGTCAGACTATAAATCAAACAAATAAACAAGACCAGGGCCATCTGAGGACTCACACACATAGAGCCCCTCCTGGGTTGGTTGGCAAGGCCTACAGTACCAACAGGCCTTTGTGGGAGGCAGGGATAGGGCCAATTCTATTTAATAATGGGGGGATGAAGGGCGGGAGGCATAGAGTTAGTGCAGGTAAAGCAAGAATGCAGTCCACAGAAAACAGGTTCCATGAAATGGGGTATCAGCCTACTCAGTGATACCCACATAACCTAACTATGAAGAATGTACACAAATATTAGAGTCGTAGCTCTTATTGTGGGACTTTAACTGTGGGAAATCACCACACTATCCAGCCTATTGGCATTCATATTGCAATGAACATCCTTACCTTTGGATCTTGGCTGCATGAAATGGAGTATCAGACTACTCAGTGACACCCACAGAACACAACTGTGAAGAGTTTAAACAAATATTAGTATCGCAGACTCTTATTGCAGGACTTTGACTGTCACATTAGCTCACCAGTCAACCAACTGTGCGTATTGACATTCATATTGCAATATACAGCCTTACCTATGGATCTTGGGTCATCAGCCTACTCAGCGATACCCACAGAACTCAACTGTGACATGTCAGAATGCTGATTTATTTAATTCTCCATGTGGTCTATATTAAAAGGACACTTTATTTAATATAACAGGCTTTTCAAATTCAATATTGGTGATTTCCCACAGTTAAAAGTCCCACAATAAGAACAACAACGATAATATTTGTGTACAACTCTTCACAGTTGTGTTCTGTGGGTGTCACTGAGTAGGCTGATACCCCATTTCATGGACCCAAGACCAATGTTCCCTCTCATTTTTTTCATCATACATTTCAGGTCTGCTGAGAGCGAACTGGAACGTTGTGAAAATTCTGTGCAGCCTACACTGATGCTGTAACTGCTTTAAGTTAGATTTAACAGCGGTCAAGTAGGCTGCTGTGGCTATTTGATCATAATGTAGGCCTACAAGAGTGGCCTACCACAAAAAACAATGGAGAAAATGCATCCCATTACATTTTAACATGGAAATAGCTGTTCTATCGTTCAGCCTACAGTAGCAGCCAATGTGTGGTGTTCAATGTAGGCCTACAATCCATGAAACTTTTGAAAAAAACATGCAGGGCTTGACATTAACCTGTTTATCCACTTGAAAATGTTGTTGTGTTGTTTGATGCAAGAATAGGGTGGCGAACAATTGGCCCAGCGTCGTCCGGATTTGGCCGGTGTAGGCCGTCATTGTAAATAAGAATTTGTTCTTAACTGACTTACCTAGTTAAATAAAGAAAAAAATATTTTAAAAAAGAAAAAAAGAAACCACTTCACAAAATAAAATGCATCATTATTCCCATACCATTATCAGACAAATTATGCTACCCTCTGCCTATTGGCTACTTAGCTTATTCAAGTCTGTCTCAAAATACAACACTGCCCCTTTAAGACAAAAAAAGCTCTTTATATGACTCGCTTTTCAAAGATGTCTAGAAATACACACGCTTTGTGCTTTTGTAGGAAACAATCACTCCCCAATTGCTGATTACAAATGATATATAACTGGGCTAATAACTCACTAACTAACAAAGTATATGAACAAATGTGCACAAGTCGCTACATGTAGCTCTCGCTTTGATCTCAAAACAAGCACATCTACTCACAACCGCTCACGCTGTAAAAATAGTACAGTTTTTAGTGAATGGCACAGATCCATATATGGCAATGGTCTATTTGCATATAGGCCTACTGCAGCTCTGCCTCCAACAAATATCTTGCATAGTTCGTTTTGTTATGTTGCATTGAAAGTGGCTAATATTGCGTTGATTCGTTCACATTTCTCACAGTTAAGGGAAACGTTGATAGTGTTAACTAATGGGGAAAACTCAGTTCAATCTCGTGCTTCTATGTGCGTGCTGATATTTCTTCTGCATGGCAGTCCCGGGGGGAGCTGCGCACCAGCCCAAGACCCATAGCTAAAGCTGTACATTGTAATATGAATGCCAATATGCTGGATAGTGAGGTGATTTCCCATAGTTAAAGTCCCACAATAAGAGCAACAGCGCTAATATTTGTCAATATACTTGTCAACAAGTCTATTACATCAACAGTGCGATTTCAACTGATTTTTTACTTTTTTTGTGTGAAATTAACTACTTATTGTCTTTTGTTGAACATTCCAACCTTGTTTAGCATTTTGTAGTCCAAATATGGTATTATTCCACTATTTGTATCCGTTTGCATCAGTTTCAATGGGGACTTTTATTTTGAAGGCGAACCGCAAATTCCACTATTGTGGCTAATCCTTATTGTGGCTAGTTTCACACAGGTCACAAAGGTTACAAAAGGCACTCATTTCGTGGAACGACCCAAGTAATAGAGACCTTCTGTCAGGAAGACAAAAATCTGTATTTATTACACAACAACCGATGACAGGTCTGGAGGTCAACATTAACGATATATGTGAAAATGCCTCCCGAGTGGCGCAGTGGTCTAAGGCACTGCATCGCAGTGCTAGCTGTTCTACTAGAGATCCTGGTTCGAATCCAGGCTCTGTCGTAGCCGGCCGTGACCGGGAGACCCATGGGGCGGCGCACAATTCGTCCAGGGTAGGGGAGGCAATGGCCGGCAGGGATGTAGCTCAGTTGGTAGAGCATGGCATTTGCAACACCAGGGTTGTGGGTTCGATTCCAGTACGACATTTTTTTTTTTTTATGCACTCACTAACTGTAAGTCGCTCTGGATAAGAGCGTCTGCTAAATGACTAAAATGTCAAATGTCAAATAAATCATCATAAACGCCTTAAGAAGTAAAACGCTCTCTCGGTCTCTGTCACCTCTCTTTCGCTCATACACATCTCTCTTGCTTTCTCATCACCCTATCCCTCCCTCTTCTGCTCTCTTTTACCTCTCGCTCTCTTTCTCCTGTATCTCGCTTTGTCTTTCACCTCTTTCTTTCGCTCACCACCCCCTCCTTGCTCTGTGTGTATTCAGAAGCAACACTTCCAAAACCTTCTAATCAAGACACATGGATTTGCAATCAGCGTCAGGAGAGAGAGAGAGCAAAGTAGAGGGAGAGGCACTAGGTAGGTAATTATAATTACATCTTAGCAACCTGCGGCGTTACGGGGGGGTAGAGCAATTATCTTCCCCTCCTCCCTGGAGAGACGAGAGAGACCTGAAGGAAATAACAATTATCATTAGACCACACATCCTGAGCCAGGGAAATCTATGTACAGTGTAGAGATACGCAGGTGAGGTCTTGGAAAGGATGACTTTTTTAACTGAGCCAGTTAGCCCTATTCAATATTACAAAGACGCTGTGATATTAACACAGTTTAGCTACTTTCCTTGATTCAGCTCAACACAATTAGGGTCTTATTCTCTCAAGACCAGACCTGGCGCCAGGATAAAGTGACTAAGGGGGCAGTTGAATTCGGCGAGGGGACATTTTTTCAGAGGGGTTGTTGCATTGGAATTATATTGAATTCTGCTTATATCACGCTATACCACAATAAAGCATCCAGAAAGACAACCATCTCTGCAGCACTCCAGGCACCTAAAGACTCTGACCATGAGAAACAAGATTCTCTGGTCTAATGAAACCAAGATTGAACTCTTTGGCCTGAATGCCAAGCGTTACCATCCCTACGGTGAAGCATGGTGGTGGCAGCATCATGCTGTGGGGATGTTTTTCAGTGGCAGGGACTGGGAGACTAGTCAGGATCGAGGCAAAGATGAACGGAGCAAAGTACAGAGAGATCCTTGATGAAAACCTGCTCCAGATGCCTCAGGACCTCAGACTGGGCGAAGTTTCACCATCCAACAGGAAAACGACCCTAAACACACAGCCAAGACAACACAGGAGTGGCTTCTGGACAAGTCTCTGAATGTCCTTGAGTGGCCCAGCCAGAGCCCGGACTTGAACCCGACCTAACATCTCTGGAGAAACCTGAAAATAGCTGTGCAGCAACGCTCCCCATCCAACCTGACAGAGCTTGAGAGGATCTGCAGAGAAGAATGGGGAAACTCCCCAAATACAGGTGTGCCAAGCTCGTAGCGTCATACGCAAGAAGACTCAAGGCTGTAATCGCTGCCAAAGGAGCTTCAACAAAGTACTGAGTAAAGGGTCTGAATACATATGTAAATGTTATATTTCCATTTTTGTTATTGTATAAATTAGCAAATTTCTAAAATCCTGTTTTTGCTTTATCATTATGGGGTATTGTGTGTAGATTGATGAGGGGAAAAAACAATTTAAATACATTTTAGAATAAGGCTGTAACCTAACAAAATGTGGAAAAAGTCAAGAGGTCTGCATACATATATACACACATTTCTGGACTCAAAATGTCAGAATTCAAAAGAAAAAGCCTCTCATTAGGCAAAACCTGTCTTAACCAATAAAGCACAGGTGGGGTCTACCATGCTCAGATACAGCCTCCCAAAAGTGAACTAACAAGAACATCCCCAAACAGGGACTTAAATACATTTGGCCACACCCATTCTTGGCGCGCAAGCCAGGTAATGTAGGCCTATATCTATGGACGCTAAAGCACGTGCTTTCACACAACATTAAACATGGCGGAGAAACCGGATACATGCTTTCCAAACAAAGACAACAAAGTAATTGACAGTAAACTGGTAAATGCAATTAAACAAACCAAAAGTTCTTTATCATAAGTGTTGCGCGGTTTGTGAGCTCTCCAAATAACGTTTTCACTTGGAGAATGAGAATGGCATGAATTTAATATTTAATGAATTATAAACATTTTGTAACCAAACATTCCAAATGAATGGGGGAATATGTTGGGATTAACAGTAACTTCACTGATGAATATATATGTCATGGAGCATTGATAAACAATTGACACAATGAAACAAATAGGGCACACGATTTGGCGGGAGTCAGCAATAGTGGCGAGAGACATGCCTATAGTGCGTCTTCGCCACACAACCCTCCCCTTATTCTTGTCTCGACATTTTTTATGCTCGAGACACGTTCCTCACACATAAGCAGTAACCTCAAACATTGTCAGGACGTAGCAGTGGTCATTTTCCCTTCAACTGAAATCATTACAGTTCAGTATTTCTAACCACCCCTTAAAAATGCACACACTAGCCAAACTAATAGACACGTGACAGCAAGGCAGAATGGCACATTCCAAACAAGCACTGGGTACATGATACATATTGACCAACATGGTATGTCCATTTGGTGAATGTAGATTGGCGGAGCAAATAAAGGATCATCATAGCAGTTGTGCCAAGGCAGATTAACACTTTGCCCAGGCCCTAAACACTGTCCACTAACTTTTTGGCGATGCGGGGGCACAAACGTCCCCGCATAGGCCTTTGTTGAACAGGTAAGGGAGCATTCTCTCTCGATGCATAGTGGACACTGAGATTGTCTCCAGCAGTGACAAAACTTCCGTGCCACACCCAGGAAAATTTTGCGGTGCAGTCATTTTCTCTCCATCATAGGTCAGACACTACTGCAGAGCACCCCACATAGGAACAGCAAAGGAGCAGGAAGGAGACAGTTCGGCCTCCAACACAGCGTCCTGGGCCGACTGGTAAACTTGACCCGCCGTTATATACCAAAATCAAATATTTCAGGCAGAGGCATATCACGTTATTCACTACCAGAGATGAGAAGTGATTTTTCCCGCTTTTTATGGAAATCCAAAGGAGTCATACCTAACCACCCCAGTGACTTTCCATAGCATTATTTTCTGTCCTCACTACTACTACAACCTCAAACATCTTTCCAAGCACAGTTCCAGCAACGTAGGTAGATTAGTAACCAGGCCAGCAGAGTACAGCTTGGCTCAACAGTGAAAGGGTATTGCTTCCCTCCCTCCCTCCCTCCCTCCCTCCCTCTCACAACAGCAGTCTATATTAAAGCCATATAACTTTTCTCTAGTCTCCTACAACCTCATGTCCTGTAATAAATGTATATTACCTTTCCAGAGGAAAGAGATTCATGTTCAGATAAAGACATTCTGTCATGGCCTTTGTGGCTTATTGAATATTCAAGAGGCCATAAAAATGAAAGACGCTATGACAAATCTGAAAGTCATTATGGTGGCTCAGGAAAATGTAATTGATAATATTATGGAAATGCAATGCAAATTGCTCCGGCAGAATTTACTTAACTCAAGAGCTATTTTCAATTGAACAAAAACCTGAAAAGAGGGGGGGCGGTTTGTTAAGTGAGGGATAATTTAGTAAAAATAGCTAAAGTATCCACATTTATTCTTTAAATACCTCCAATACACTGTTAGAGTAGTAGATTATTGAGTTGCCCGAGATTACTCAGACCAGCTTCCTGTCCAGGGTGTGTACTTATCCAAGGCTTACTGTGTTTACCCATATATCCCTTCTTTACCTCAAACCTTTATTGACCGGGGAGAACTAGGCTCCTTGTGATATCATAGGATGAGAACCGCCATCCTCACCACTGAAGTGCAGAGCAGATGTAGAGAAGATCATAACATCACAGTTGTTTCTCCCTCTCTTCCCCTTTACTCATTCAGCTGTATGTTGGGGCCTTCACTGCCTTGCTGCTCAGTTTGAATCAGTCGTGAGATAGCACACACATACACACCTACTCAAACATGCTGAAATAATAGGACACACTACAGATTGCATGGCACACTATAGATGTCAACACACTTCTCAGTCTGCTGACAACAATTGTCTTAAAATAACCCCCCCCCCCCAACCCCCCCCCCCACACACACACGCCCATTGGAGTGCTGATTGAACTGTGTAATTAGAGGTAATTAACATTCATTAAGGTAATTAAAGGTCCCCCCGTCACGATCAGGTGCAGGTGTATGTCTGACGACAGATAGGGTGAGAGGCACTAGAGCGTCTCTCTCTCTCCCCCAGTCTCTCTCTCTCCCAGTCTCTCTCTCTCTCCCTGTGTCATTCTCTCTTTGTCTTTCTTTCTCTCTCTCTCTTTCCCTCTCCCCCTCCATCTCTCTTTCTGGGTCTCTCGCTCTCTGTTCACCCTCTACTCACCTCAGCATGAGAACCAAGTGAACAATCAATTACTGTAGCTGAATATAACATGCTGGCGTTGATAATTAATTAATATAGGCAATGGCATAAATTAGCTTAGAAAATGGCATACATTAGCTCAGAAACAGGTCTACCAATCTATCAGTAATTATGAGTATTAAAGCAAAGTAAACATTAAATAACTGTAGATGTACCTAAATAGCTTTGTGCTGTATCATCTAATGCATGCATACACCATATTCTATTCAGAATTATGATAATTGCCTATCCATCAACCATCCATTATGACTGAATCAGAAGTGTGTGTGTCAGTGCTGTGTGTAAGTTGACTGCAAACAATTAGGAATTTCCAACACATTAATGTTTCTTATAAAAAAGCGATGCAGTCAGTCTTTCCCTCAACTCTTAGCCAAGAAAAGCAAAACGTGCCGCTCTTTTCTGGGTCAGCTGCAGCTTAACTAGGTACTTCTTTGCAGCACTTGACCACATGACTCGACAATAATCAAGATAAGATAAAACTAGAGCCTGCAGGACTTGCTTTGTGGAGTGTGGTTTCAAAAAAGCATAGCTTCTCTTTATCACAAACATACCTCTCCCAATCTATACAACCATTGAATCAATATGTTTTGACCATGACAGTTTACAATCTAATGTAACACCAAGTAATTTAGTCTCCTCAACTTGCTCAACAGCCACACCATTCATTACCAGATTCAGCTGAGGTCTAGAACTTAGGGAATGATGTGTACCAAATACAATGTTCATAGTTTTAGAGATGTTCAGCACCAGTTTATTACTGGCTACTAGGGCTGTCCCCACAAAAAAAAATCTTGGTCGACCGAGAGTCATCCTGTTCTTTCGACCAATTGATTGGTCGAAATGTTTGAATACATTTTTCCATATATAGACAGACACACCCTATGTGTTTGAAAAACACAACTACATATGTACTGAGCTTGTCTGATGCTTCAAGCACACTGTTTGATTAAACAATTAAGACACACAAATGACTCAAGAAAGAGCCCGATGGTCACACTGTGTAAAGAAAAATGGCAGCGAGTGCCTGTGTGACTGGCGCACGTTGTCTCGCTCTCCTCCCTACTGCAGCGAAAAGGCACCACAGCACAGCAAGTGTTTATTGTGCTGTCCGTGCTGAAGCTGCAACATCTTTTCAGCAATTTAGTTTCTTACTTGTTTCTGACTGAAGAGTTCTGTTACCGAATTCCCTCATTTGTTTACGAAAAAGTTGTGGAAACTACTGGAGATCAACAAAAAGGAGGGTATAGGAGCAAGCATTGCGTGAGTATTATGTGTGCCAAACAGTTGCTGTTAGATTACAATATTTTTTCTGACCATTTGGAACAGTGTAAACAACACCTGTTGTATTCGGTGCATGTGACAAATACAATTGTATTTTATTTTATTTTACCAGAGTCTTTACCAACGGAAAAAAATATTTATAAAGCGTTTATTACAGCACTCTAAAAACAGGTGCACGCATTCGTGACTTGCGGTTTATTTATTGTTTAGGCTAATTATTCAAAGCTCCCTTTGTTATTTAATAAATACAAAAAAATGCTTGATTGCATTTCAAAGCATGAATGTCTGGTATGCTGTGTGACGCACAAACGAATGAATGATTGATTGATACATTAGCCTATGTATTGAAATATAGGCCTAAGTAAGTTACGGTATTAAGACTAAACAGGACGCGCTCTTAGGCCTACAGCCTACTAATGATAACGACATTACATATTATCATAATGATGATCATAATAATAATTGTAATAATAACAATAAGAAGGAGATCAAGAAAAAGGAGGGTATAGGAGCGAGAGCCGAAAGCTGGGTGCATATTATGTGTGACAAACAGGTGCTGTTAGATTACAATATCATTTTTCTGCCTGTTTGGAACAGTGTAAACAACACTAAATAAATTATAAGTAATACCAGTCTGTTCTAACAAAACAAAATTGTAAAGCCTTTATTACAGCATAGAAAACATTAAAAACAGCCGAATCTGTGAAATTGCATTATCCAACATTTTGCCGATGCATGAGGCTTGGTGCTCACGGAATCAGTAGGCTATTAAACAAACACTCAAACAGGCAACAGAAGCAAGATCTGTCTTATTTCTGTAGCTACAGTATATATGGATGATTTATAAAGCCAGGCACATTTAACAGTTAGGCTATTGATTATAGACCAAATTAAATTGGGGTTTCCTCTCTCCTTAATTTTCTTAGACAATTAGGCTAAGGCAAGGGCTGTTTCCTCGTCTCTGCTGCTGCTGCCTCCGCCTCTTTGTTCTCAATCCCAATATGCTGGTTAACTTCGCTATTATGCACATAGCAACATAGGGAAAGGCGCCAATTCTACGGTGCACTGAAGATTATGTTTCAGAACCGCGGACAGCAATTGTATCCAACGTGGGAGAAAGCGCATTTGTTACAAAATAATATTCGATTTATTAGTTATATAACCATATACAATTTCAGTATGACATGTCTTAGAGGGATGGACTGTGCCATCCCTGTGGCATCCACAATGGATTAGTCCACTGAGACAGGCGCGAATCAGACAGGTCTCAGTCGACCGACCAAACAATCGACCAGTAGACTAAATGGGGTCAGCCCTACTGGCCACCCATTCTAAAACTGACTGCAACTATTTTTTTTAGGGTTGCAGTGATTTCACTAGCTGGGGTTGCTGACGTGTATAGGGTTGAATCATCAGCATACATGGACACATAGGCTTTGTTTAATGTCAGTGGCAGGTCACTGGTAAAAACAGAAAAGAGTAGAGGGCCAAGGGAGCTGCCCTGCGGTACACCAAGCTTCCATTAAAGAAAACCCTTTGTGTTCTATTAGATAGATAGCTCTGAATCCACGATATTAGAGGTTAAAAAGCCATAACACATAAGGTTTTTCAACAAAAGGTTATGGTCAATAATATCAAAGGCTGCACTGAAATCTAACAGTACAGCTCCCACAGTCTTCTTATTATTGTCACGCCTGCTCCCGCTTCCCTTCCCTGACGATCGAGGGCGCCAGGCTGCCCATCATTACGCACACCTGTCACTATCGTTGCACGCACCAGCACTTCATCGGACTCACCTGGACTCCATCACATCATTGATTGCCTCCCCTATACAGTGGGGAAAAAAAGTATTTAGTCAGCCACCAATTGTGCAAGTTGACCAAAGGTGACCAAATACTTATTTTCCACCATCATTTGCAAATAAATTCATTAAAAATCCTACAATGTGATTTTCTGAAAAAAAAAAAAAAAAAATCTCATTTTGTCTGTCATAGTTGACGTGTACCTATGATGAAAATTACAGGCCTCTCTCATCTTTTTAAGTGGGAGAACTTGCACAATTGGTGGCTGACTAAATACTTTTTTTCCCCACTGTATCTGTCACTTCCTCAGTTTCATTCCCGTGTCTGCATTGATGTTGTTTTGTTTCTCTCGTCCAGACGCTGTTCTTGCTTTGTTTCATGTCTATTTATTATTAAATCCTCACCCTGTACTTGCTTCCCATCTTTCAGCGTCTGTCGTCACAATTATCAATGTCATTTGTGTCAGTGCAGTACATGTTGAGTGCCCTTCTCTATACGAATGCTGAAAGTCTGTTAATTTGTTTACAGAGAAATAGCATTGTATTTGTCTAACACAATTTTTTTCAACAGTTTGCTAAGAGCTGCAGGCAAGCTGATAGGTCGGCTGTAAGAACCAGCAAAGGCCACTTTACCATTCATGGGCCGCTTTACCATTATCTACTTTGGCTTGCCTCCAGGCATGAGGACAAACACTTTCCTCTAGGCTCAGATTAAAGATATAACAGATAGGAGTGGCTATAGAGTCAGTTACCATCCTCACTAGCTTTCCATCTAAGTTGTCAATGTCAAGAGGTTTGTCATTATTGATCAATAACAACAAAAACATCCACCTCTCCCACACTAACTTTACAAAATTAAAACTTACAATGCTTTTCTTTCATTATTCGTTTTATGCATGAATATGATGGCTCACTGTTCGTTGTTGGCATTTCCTGCCTAAGTTTGCCCACTTTGCCAATGATGTAATCGTTAAAATAATTGGCAACATCAAATGGTTTTGTGATGAATAAGCCATCTGATTCGATAAATGATAGAGGTGAATTTGTCTTTCTGCCCATAATTTCATTTAAAGCACTCCAAAGTTTTTTTTCCATCATTCTTTATATCATTGATTTTGGCTTCATAATACGGTCTCTTCTTGTTGTTGTTGAGTTTAGCCACATCATTTCTCAATTTGCAGTAAGTCAACCAGTCAGATATGCAGCCAGACATATTAGCCACTCCTTTTGCCCAATCTATTTCAACCATACAGCGCTCCTAGTGGCCGGGGACTTTAATGCAGGGAAACTTACATCCGTTTTACCTCATTTCTACCAGCATGTTACATGTGCAACCAGAAGGAGAAAAAAAACTCTAGACCACCTTTACTCCACACACACAGACGCGTACAAAGCTCTCACTTGCCCTCCATTTGGCAAATCTGACCATAACTCTATCCTCCTGATTCCTGCTTACAAGCAAAAACTAAAGCAGGAAGTACCAGTGACAAGTGCGCACTTTGAGGCAAGCAACGTTGAAGCATGCATGAGAGCATCAGCTGTTCCGGACGACTGTGTGATCACGCTCTCTGTAGCCGATGTGAGTAAGACCTTTAAACAGCTCAACATTCACAAGGCCGCAGGGCCAGACAGATTACCAGGACGTGTACTCCAAGCATGCGCGGACCAACTGGAAAGTGTCTTCACTGATATTTTCAACTTGTCCCTGACCGAGTCTGTAATACCTACATGTTTCAAGCAGACCACCATAGTCCCTGTGCCCAAGAACACCAAGGTAACATGCGTAAATGACTACCGACCCGTAGCACTCAAGTCTGTAGCCATGAAGTGCTTTGAAAGGCTGGTCATGGCTCACATCAACACCATTATCCCAGAAACACTAGATCCACTCCAATTTGCATACCACCCAAACAGATCCACAGCTGACGCAATCTCTATAGCACCCCACACTGCCCTTTCCCACCTGGACAAAAGGAACACCTACGTGAGAATGCTATTCATTGACTACAGCTCAGCGTTCCACACCATGGTGCCCTCAAAGCTCATCTCTAAGGTAAGGACCCTGGGACTAAACACCTCCCTCTGCAACTGGATCCTGGACTTCCTGACGGGCCGCCCCCAGGTGGTAAGCGTAGGTAACAACACATCTGCCATGCTGATCCTGAACACGGGGACCCCTCAGGGGTTCGTGCTCAGTACCCTCCTGTACTCCATGTTCACCCATGACTGCATGGCCAAGCACGACCCAACACCATCATTAAGTTTGCCGATGACACAACAGTGGTAGGCTTGATCACCGACAATGATGATACTGCCTGTAGGGAGGAGGTCAGAGACCTGGCAGTGTGGTGCCAGGATAACAACCTCCCCCTCAATGTGATCAAGACAAAGGAGATGATCGTGGACTACAGGAAAAGGAGTGCCGAGCACGCCCCCATTCTCATCGACCTGGCTGTAGTTGTCCATATCACCAACGAACTATCATGGTCCAAACACACCAAGAGAGTTGTGAAGAGGGCATGACAACACCTATTTCAAGATTTGGCATGGGTCCATCGAGAGCATCCTGACTGGTTGCATCACCACCTGGTATGGCAACTGCTCGGCCTCCGACAGCAAGGCACTACAGAGGGTAGTGTGTGCGGCCCAGTACATCACTGGGCAAGCTTCCTGCCATCCAGGACCTCTATACCAGGCGGTATCAGAGGAAGGCCCTAAAAAATGCAAAAGACTCCAGCCACCCTAGTTGTAGACTGTTCTCTCTGCTACCCCACGGCAAGCGATACCGGAGCGCCAACTCTAGGTCCAAAAGTCTTCTTATCAGCTTATACCACCAAGCCATAAGACTCCTGAACTATTTCAGGCCCAGCTTTTGGAACCTTGGCTTTCCTGGATATAGTGATCACTGCATCCAATGGTTATGGATACAGCTTTAGAACAAAGTTCTACAGTATTAGTAAAAATGTGAGCAAAACATGTGGATGATATTGTTCCTGTAGTGTTTGTAAACACCCTGGTAGGTTGATTAATAACCTGAACCAGATTACAGGCACTGGTTACAGTTAGAAGCTTCCTCTTGAGCAGACAGCTTGATGAAAACCAGTCAACATTCAGGTCCCCAAGAAAGTAGACCTCTCTGTTTACATCATATACACTATCAAGCAGTTCACACAAATGATCTAGATACTGAGTGTTAGCACTTGGTGGTCTATAGCAATACCCTAAAAGAATAGTGCTGATTTAAAAAGGTTATAGACATCATTGTCAGTAATGACTTGAGTATGAGAAGAGGGAAAAGAGGGAGTACTGACATCGTTTTGCACTTTGGAAAGGTATCCGAAAGGGCCAATACAACACAATATCTACATGTTTACTGGAATGACTATCACCATGGTGACTGCTACCCAGGAGGTGGCAGGGGAGTGTGTGTGTGTTCCAGCATACGTGCACCATCTCCTCCCCCCACCTGGAAAATACAATTAATGCTATGTTGTAATAATTCATTATTATAGTATTATTATTGTATTACTAATAATAACATGTATGTGAAAAGCAAATAAATAAATATATATAAACAGCTTACAGGCATGCATGTGTGTGTTTATACTTGCTTATGTGAGTGTGCATGCGTGTGTGTGAGGTTTGAAATGAGGCCAAGAGTAGCACTCTGATGTGAGCAGTGCGGTGAAGAGTGTGGAGCACCCACAGGGGGCTGCCAGATTGGCGTTTGTTTATAATTTTCAATCCAGCTCGTCACAGCTCTCTTCAACTGGAAAATCCTATTATAAAGACATATACATTTGAAGAGATGCCAAGAAATTGCTTTTAGGCAGCTGATCCGAGCTTGAAGCAACAGGATAGATTCATTGAAAGTGCAATGAAGTGCATGCAAAGTTTTGAAACGAGACTAAAGAAATGCATAATATATGTAGTGAGTGAGCATCAATTCCTTAAATTATGCTTGGTTTGGCCCGGTCCTCAGAGGACATGGTAAATTCATGAGCACGAATAAGAATTATATAGAAAATGATATTTTTCAAATGGAGAAGGTTTCTATTGCGAAGTGACGATGTGCGCATCTCGAGTGACAATTGGTAACAGCTAGTTGTGACATATTTATTCGATTTATAGTGGGGGGGGGGATCAATTTCACCTGTTTCTAATATTGGGAGGGTCATGACCCAGTGTTGTGTTTGAGACCACCTAAAGTGAGACCGATTCAGGACCAAGACCGGAGCAAATCGAGTCAGAGTAAAGACCAAGACCGGAGGAGGGGCGAGACCGAGTCAAGACCAAGACCGGGAGGGGAACGACAATGGGTCCGAAACCGAGTCAAGACCAAGACCAGAAAAATGCGAGTCCAATTTAAGAACATGATTGTAATTTTGTCAAATCACCACCATAATAACATTGCTTTTGTGGTGGCTAGTTTGCAGTGGCTGCAGCAGGTGTTATCAAAGAGGATGTTGTTGCTAATTTGTTAGTTTCTCCCTTTTCAATAACTTTCAACAAGAAGTTAAGTTTCAAATGATCATCATCTGGTAAGTGGAACTGTGTTTTTTATTGCAACGCGCTTGCTGTTAACCATCTCTTTGAAAATAACTTATGTGTGTGAAACATTGTTGCGTTTAAAGTGGAACTCACAGCATTTAAGCAACATGAAATCTTAATAAAATCTGTTCATATACACCCCCAGGAAGACAAGCGAGCACTTAGATATGGTCATTTTCACAACTTCTTAGAATGTTTGGGAATTAAGTATACTAAGGCATTTGTCAAAATTCTACAGCAATATAAGGTGGGAAAGCGGCTGTGCGTTTGTACAATTTTTGCAAAACAACAAGATCAACAACTAATGCTAGCCAGAGCAAGATGAGCTAAAATCTAATGAAGGAACATTAGATAAACCCTCAAACTTTTTTCAGCTAGTTGGCTGTCAACATTGCACTGATAAATGATGGGGAATTGTAATCTCCTCGTCCTTATGGTAGCTTGCCTGCCAATGCATGCTTATCCCAACAAAGCACCCAAGCTAACTGGCTAAAGTTGGCTAGCTAGCTACTCCCAGACACAAATGAGAGAACACCTCACTCTGATAATTTTACTCGCTGTAGCAGAGCTGGTTAGGCTGTTTAAATGTTATTTAGAGAGTTCTTGACTAACGATTACTTTTTTTGCCTATGTTTACTGACACCGGTCATATTCAGCGGGTGTTGCGCGTTTGTAAATTCATCAGTTGTTCTGCCCCCTGGCACACTCAGACGAGAGTGCTCTGAAATCGGAGTATATAGCCATAGTGAATTTGCGAACGCAAGCGATATGCTACCTGGATAACAGTCGTTCAATTTCTTGCTAGATAACCAAATGACACCAGCATCTCTAGCTGTGTATAGCCACTGAAAAACGATATGAGGGGAAAAAGTCAGTCACTCACCCACTCCTCCAATGGCATGACATGACATCCTCCTAGCAGCTAGCTATCTAGCTAATGTTAGACTCTGTGTTTTTAGCTTGCTACATAAATAGATACGCTAGCCTATTAGCCACGTTATGACTGACATGTGATCACTGCCCTTGCTAGTTTTATTGTATTGACATTCCCAGCCTTAGTTACATTTGTCAGTTTTTGTCCAGAATATTGAGTAATTGAAACTGAAACAGTGCATCCCGAATGGAGGCAGCAAACAATGTTCCAGGCCAGCTGTGATTTACAACCTGATAGCAATATTTTTTGGACTACCAAGAAATGTATTGGTGAATTATATTAATCATGCATTGAACTGCATCCATCTATTCTGCCAACAATGCCTTCCTGTACGTCATGGAATGTTGAGTCAAATAGAACCTATCTTACGAAGTTGGTTTTGTATATTTTTACTGATATTATGATTGTCTGTTTGTTTCAAATCTGCAAAGTAGTTAAAACGCTGTCAGTTCTACTTTAAACTTTAGGTCACCAGTTACTTTGTGTGCTAAACATGAAATGTGTTTTGCAATGGGAAGTAATCCAGTCGTGGTCAAAAGTTTTGAGAATGACACAAGTATTGGTCTTCACAAAGTTCGCTGCTTCAGAGTTATGAGATATTTTTGTCAGACGTTACTGTGGTATACAGTGGGGAAAAAAAGTATTTAGTCAGCCACCAATTGTGCAAGTTCTCCCACTTAAAAAAATGAGAGAGACCTGTAATCTTCATTATAGGTACACGTCAATTATGACAGACAAAATGAGAAAAAAAATCCAGAAAATCACATTGTAGGATTTTTTATGAATTTATTTGCAACTTGTGGTGGAAAATAAGTATTTGGTCAATAACAAAAGTTTCTCAATACTTTGTTATATACCCTTTGTTGGCAATGACACAGGTCAAACGTTTTCTGTAAGTCTTCACAAGGTTTTCACACACTGTTGCTGGTATTTTGGCCCATTCCTCCATGCAGATCTCCTCTAGAGCAGTGATGTTTTGGGGCTGTCGCTGGGCAACACAGACTTTCAACTCCCTCCAAAGATTTTCTATGGGGTTGAGATCTGGAGACTGGCTAGGCCACTCCAGGACCTTGAAATGCTTCTTACGAAGCCACTCCTTCGTTGCCCGGGCGGTGTGTTTGGGATCATTGTCATGCTGAAAGACCCAGCCACGTTTCATCTTCAATGCCCTTGCTGATGGAAGGAGGTTTTCACTCAAAATCTCACGATACATGGCCCCATTCATTCTTTCCTTTACACGGATCAGTCGTCCTGGTCCCTTTGCAGAAAAACAGCCCCAAAGCATGATGTTTCCACCCCCATGCTTCACAGTAGGTATGGTGTTCTTTGGATGCAACTCCGCATTCTTTGTCCTCCAAACACGACGAGTTGAGTTTTTAACAATTTTCAAAGTTTCATCTGACCATATGACATTCTCCCAATCCTCTTCTGGATCATCCAAATGCACTCTAGCAAACTTCAGACGGGCCTGGACATGTACTGGCTTAAGCAGGGGGACACGTCTGGCACTGCAGGATTTGAGTCCCTGGCGGCGTAGTGTGTTACTGATGGTAGGCTTTGTTATTTTGGTCACAGCTCTCTGTAGGTCATTCACTAGGTCCCCCCGTGTGGTTCTGGGATTTTTGCTCACCGTTCTTGTAATCATTTTGACCCCACGGGGTGAGACCTTGCGTGGAGCCCCAGATCGAGGGAGATTATCAGTGGTCTTGTATGCCTTCTTTTTCAAGACCTCTGAAATCCGCCCTGGCATGCTGTCAATTAACTTCTGGGCTACATCCTGACTGATGGCAGCCCATTCTTGCATAATCAATGCTTGGAGTTTGTCAGAATTTGTGGGTTTTTGTTAGTCCACCCGCCTCTTGAGGATCGACCACAAGTTCTCAGTGGGATTAAGGTCTGGGGAGTTTCCTGGCCATGGACCCAAAATGTCGATGTTTTGTTCCCCGAGCCACTTAGTTATCACTTTTGCCTTATGGCAATTCACTAAATTAAACAGAGGACACAGAACATTGTTGTCTGCAGACTCCTCTTAATGATGTTCCTTTCAAATGAAAGGACAAAGGCCACAGAGCGACAATGATCTTCTCTAACTACTACAACTATTCAAAGTAGGGCTGGAAAATCACCATAACCGTACAACCGTGTAACCGCCGGTTATGGATGAAGACCGTCATGAAAATAAAATAACTCATAACCATAAAAACATTTTTTTTTAAATGGGAGCGAACAGCTGACTGAAGACTGGACGGCTGGGCATTCGTGCAGTCGAGTTTGTTTCTGTGGTAACATGGACTCTTAACAACTTGCTGAAACTTTGTTACTCCTTGCTGAAACAAACAAGTCTTCGGTTGCCCCCACACAATGCAGCAGCAGCACAAATAGAAATAGAATGAATAGAACAGGCTTGGAACCTCTAACCCTGGCAATTTGACTGGTAAACTCATTGGTACACTCGCAATGGCTGCCTGATATTGTGATGCAATAATTTCCAAGGAAATGTAGAATGTTCATTCAAATTATGTTAACTGATGTGGATCATGCAATGGAATACATTTTTTGTAATTTCAGTTGAGTTGAATCAACAAGTCACATCACATATTGATACTGCTTTTACTTCCTGCGTTGCTCCTATGGGTACACTCGCAATGGCCACCAGTCCACCCATTATGTCACCATTGACTTGAATGGGGACGCCTGTTCCATTCATTCTATTTCTATGGCAGCACATGCCATCAGGAGCGAAGGAGAGGAGAAAATGTGTCAAAGAAAAATTACATAACAAAAAAAATGCTATTCGAATGGTTATTACGGAGACCGCGGTCATTTTGCTGGCCAATTACCATCATCCAAAATCCATGACTGACTCAAACTAATTCAAACTGAGTTCACCCCTGGATATCAATAAAGTCTCTTCATTCTGTAATAAAAAGATGCAGTGAAGTCAGTGTGTTGTGTAACTTGTGTTCCTTGAGGAAGTATGCAACTAACTGTATGATATATACTTTGTGTTCCTATAGTACAGAACTATGCAACTGTATGATACTGTACTTTGGATCAGGTTTGACAATCTCAGCACACAATCTAGGGTGAGACTGACTGATCTTTCCAATAGCTACAGTAAGCGGACATCCTTTAAAGGGAAACACCACTCAATATTTTGTTTGTTTTTTTGTTTGTTGGCATTTTGTATCAGCATGATGATATGGCAACTGACACTTTGCTTCTTGAAAACCTGACTGTTGACATGCAAAACATTTTGGGACTGTATCAACATTGGACTAATGAAGAAAATACCAGAAGATAGTTTGAGAGTGGATTTTTCCTTTAACTATAGTCAAACAAACGAGACTGGGATTGTGACAATGTATGTGAGGAAGAGAGAGGAGAGAAAGGCATAAACTAGCAGAATTCTAGTAATGAGCATCAGCGTTAGCATTATCGTGTGTGTGTGTGTGTCTGTGTGTGAGAAAACATCTCATTAGAGAGAATGAGCTCACACCTGCTGTTAACAGGAAAACCCACCATGAGGGAGTGGTGTTAAAAAGCACACACACACACACACACCTCCACCCTCAATGCATGTTCCCAACAGCCTCGTTACTTCAGTGCTCAGAGACTTATGTTATGCCTTTGAATTAGTGAGTGATTTCCCTCCTACAGTAAAACTCCAGGTGATTTTTGACCCCAGATACACAGAGACCTGCGATAGCAGCAGACTGTTCAGCAGTCAACCCAGTAACCTAGAGAAAGTGGGTTTGTAGGCTGTCATTTCATAACTGGCTATTATGCGTCAGCTGTGAGGAGTGTGGTCACATACTTCAGAAAGTATTCATACCCCTTAACTTACTCCATATTTTGTTGTGTTACAGACTGAATTCAAAAAATAGATGTATTTTTCTCACCCAACTACACACAATACCCTATAATGACACATTTTTTTTGCAGTATTACTTTAGTGCCTAGTTGCAAACAGGATGCATGTTTGGGAATATTTTATGCTGTACAGACTTCCTTCTTTTCACTCTGTCAATTAGGTTAGTATTGTGGAGTAACTACAATGTTGTTGATCCATCCTCAGTTTTGTTCTATCACAGCCAAACTCTGTTTTAAACTCACCATTGGTGAAATCCCTGAGAGGTTTCCTTCCTCTCCGGCAACTGAGTTAGAAAGGACGCCTGCATCTTTGTAGTGACTGGGTGTATCGATACACCATCCAAAGTGTAATAAATAACTTCACCATGCTCAAAGGGATATTCAATGTCTGCTTTATTTTTACCCATCTACCAATAGGTGCCATTCTTTGTGAGGCATTGGAAAACCTCCCTGGTCTTTGTGGTGTAATCTGTGTTTGAAACTGAGGGACCTTACAGATAATTGTATGTGTGGGTTACAGAGATGAGGTAGTCATTCAGAAATCATGTTAAACACTATAATTGCACACATATTGAGTCCAAGCAACTTATTATATGACTTGTTAAGCACATTTATACTCCTGAACTTATTTAGACATGCATAACAAAGGGTTGAATACTTACTGACTCAAGACATTTCATTTGGTATTTTCTTTCTTCAGGTCATGACAATGAACAAAGTGTCAATAATACTACACAGTTCATGGACATCCCACACTTTCTTGTGTGTCAAAGACTGATATGTCGACAATAAACGTGCACTAGTAATTCTGTGTGTGGATGTAAGTATTTCAGAATAAATGACTGGTGAATGACAGCCATGAGAAGTAGATCAGGGGTCAGGGTTAAAGTGATGATGTAAAATGGTGAACCAGAGTTATAATTGTGTGTGTGGGTGTAAATTCTATAATGATTAGGTGAGTGAATGCCATAAGAACTGGGTCAGGGTTTGCCTGCATATAGAATCTTTATAGAATCTTTTTTTATTTGTTGCCAATTATGCCATTTAGCAGAATTTTTTTATCCAAAGTGACTTACAGTCATGCATGCATACATTTAACATACGGGTGGTCCCGGGAATTAAACCCACTATCCTGGTGCCATGCTCTACCAACTGAGCTACAAAGGACCATACTGTATATGGGTTTGCGATGTGAGTGTCGTGATGTTGTATAGCATGGAGGCTGGAGGTTAGAGTGAAACCGTATAATAGGAGTCAGAGGTTAGAGTTAATTGGTTTAAAATGGAGGAACAGAGTTACTCACACGAGAGGTTTCTCCATGCGGCTGCCCAGCGATCCCACCACCTCTCCCAACGTACAGAACGCCTGGCCAAGGAAGTCCTACAGAAACAGAGACAGAGATACAAGTTATATATATTTGGACACATTCTGGTGAAGTGGAAGATATAGGAGACACACACGCATGCATGGGTGCACACATCCACACAAACCACACACAGCGGACTCCCATCCAATAGTGTGCATAGAATACTCTTTATGAAACATGACATTGACATTAATACAATGAATCACGTTTGGGGGGGGGGGGGGGGGGGGGGACCCTTGTGATTCTATTAGCCAGTGTCTGGAAAAAGACCAACACTTTATAATGGAATCTCACTGTGGTCTCCTCTGACCACACTGTCTAGTATAAGCAGTGTGTGCTGTATAATCCCTACAGGTTTTATAGCCCACTTATTTCCAGCGTGCTCCAGCAGCCAGACCTGGGTTCAAATACTATTTGAAATACTTTAAGCATTTGCTCAAATACTAGCCAGCCTGGGTTACAAATACCTATCAGTTTTAGGATTATTCTATGGGTTCCATTGCCGCAGGCAAACTCAATCAAAACCTAGATAAAGTATTTGAAAAGACTTCAAATAGTATTCGAACCCAGGTCTGATTTCCACTCCAGCTCCACTAGCACACCTGCCCTGCCTGCTTGCCTGCCTGTCTGTCTGTCTCTCACATGTTAACACAGTAAATGTTTATCTCCAGTGGATTTCCCCAGAGGGATGGCCAGGGATGGCTAAGCAGCCTCTAAAACCGCCAAGTGTCATTCCCAGCCTGAGATTATTGATTTCACCCTGTTTTTATGCCTGATCGAGGAAGTGAGGGAAGGAGAGCGAGAGACAGAGACAGAGACAGAGAGAGAGAGAGACAGAGAGAGAGAGAGAGATTGGGGGCGGAGGGAAGGAGAGAGAGAGAGGGATAGGGAGAGAGAATAATGTTGTATCCAGCGTGAACATCTCTGAAATTGGGGTAGACAGTGCCAGAATGGAGGACCAGTGAGAAAAGCCTTGTAACTAACAGTGTGTGTGATGTGCATGCGTGTGTGTGCATGCGTGTGTGCTAGGGTCCCTGGTTGCGTACCTTTAGGGATAAACAATGTGACTGCAACGTTAATGCAATGTGTTTTACGCAAACACGACAGGCAGTGGACCAGGGAATATGGGCTTTATTCTAGCGTTAATATGGTACCAACAGCAACAGGTAGAGGAGAATCTCTTGTACTCCCCACATCAAATCATTGTGGGAAAATGTCCGTTATTCTCCATGACTGCGAAGTATTGATGGCAAAGGCGATTGGCCCACATCACAGTGGCCACTCCCCCTCTTATCCTTTCTTTCATGGAAAATATGACACACTGCTCGCTATGTGCACATTGTTAGAATACTAATCTAAAACATTACCAAACAGATTATCAACTACATATTAGTCAGGTGATGGTAAATACAGCTATGCATGACACATGCCATGTGAAAAGCCAGCATATACAGTCTATCCAAATAACAGAAAAGGTATCCCTTAAGGTCAAACATGTAATAACTCATTCTCATGTTCTCATTGTTTGTGTTTCTCTAATGACCTTCATCCTTAAACATTTGTTTGCCAAACAAAGTCTAACCAGACCATGTGATTTCCCTGCAATGTGGGCAGACTGGTTTTTCAAAATTGCCCAAGCAAAAACAGGAGAGCCCAAAGGGTGAAATGTGATTAAGATAAGATAGGACAGGGAAAGAAATGCTATATGAATCTAGTCAATCTAAGTATGAAATAATAGGAGGAACATGAGCATTTTGCTAATAGCACACTGAGCTTATGGTGATCATTAGGTAAGATAAATGCCAGGATAATAGTGGGATAATGCTTTCAGTCCAGTGAGTCCAATGTAATCAGTGTCCTTTGAGACCATAATTAGCAATATTAGGTGGTTAAGAAAGGCAGCATCACAAATCCTGATTGGTATGGATGGTGTTCTGAAGGGTCATGTCATTCCACAAACACTCTAATTCACCTCTGGACATGCCTCCTCTACTGCCAATTCACCACACCTGAACTCCTGAAAATGTAAAACTCACTCTGACAATCACCATTCCTCTCCCTTCCTCAGCTATAAATGCAGTTTGTTCCCATTTCCATGTGTCCTTTTTTTGTGCGTACCTGCGTTTAAATAAGTGCCTTTTCATGTGTTATTGGGGATTGTATAATGCTAACTTTGTCAACTTCCTAGCCTGTATATCTAATTATATCTATCTATCTATATATATATAATATATACAAAATTACACTACATGATAAAAAAGTATGTGTACACTTGGCATTAATATGGAGTTGGTCACCCCTTTGCTGCTATAACAGCCTCCACTCTTCTGAGAAGGCTTTCTACTAGATGTTGGAACATTGCTGCAGGGACATGCTTTCATTCAGCCACAAGAGCATTAGTGAGGTCAGGCACTGATGTTGGGCAATAAGGCCTGGCTCGCAGTTGGGGTTCCAATTCATCCCAAAGGTGTCTGATGAGGCTAAGGTCAGGGCTCTGTGCAGGCCAGTCAAGTTCTTCCACACCAATCTCGACAAACCATTTCTGTATGGACCTCGCTTTGTGCACGGAGGCATTGTCATGCTGAAACAGGAAAAGGCCTTCCCCAAACTGTTGCCACAAAGTTGGAAGCACAGAATCGTCTAGAATGTCATTGTATGCTGTAGCGTTAAGATTTCCCTTCACTGGAACTAAGGGGCCTAGCCCGAACCATGAAAAACGGCCCCAGACCATTATTCCTCCTCCACCAAACTTTACAGTTGGCACTATGCATTGGGGCAGGTAGCGTTCTCCTGGCATCCGCCAAACCCTGATTTGTCCGTCGGACTGACAGATTGGCATTGCGCATGGTGATCTTAGGCTTGTGTGCAGCTGCTCGGCCATGGAAACCCATTTCATTAAGCTCCCGACTAACAGTTATTGTGCTGATGTTGCTTCCAGAGGCAGTTTGGAACTCGGTAGTGAGTATTGCAACCGAGGACAGACGATTTTTATGCACTTCAGCATTCGGCGGTCTATGGACATTGCATGGCTGTGTGCATGGCTGTGTGGTCAGATGACGCAGATGCTAAGCTACAGGAATGTTTTGCTAGCACAGACTGGAATATGTCCCGGGATTCATCTGATGGCATTGAGGAGTATACCACATCAGTCACCGACTTCCTCAATATTGATGAAGTTGTCCCCACAGTGACCATAAGTACATACCCCAACCAGAAGCCATGGATTACAGGCAACATCCGCACTGAGCTAAAGGGTAGAGCTGCCGCTTTCAAGGAGTGGGCACCTACCCGGACGCTTATAAGAAATCACGCTATGCCCTCCGACGAACCATCAAACAGGCAAAGCGTCAATACAGGATTAAGATTGCATCCTACTACATCGGCTCTGATGCTCGTCGGATGTGGCATGGCTTGCAAACTATTACAGACTACAAAGGGAAACCCAACAGCAAACTGCCCAGTGACACAAGCCTACCAGACGGGCTAAATGAATTATATGCAAGCAACACTGAAGCATGCATGAGAGCACCAGCTGTTGTGGGCGACTGTGTGATCACGCTCTCCGTAGCCGATGTGAGTAAAACCTTTAAACAGGTCAACATTAACAAGAACGCAGGGCCAGACGGATTACCAGAACGTGTACTCAGAGCATGCGCTGAACAACTGGCAAGTGTCTTCACTGACATTTTCAACCTGTCCCTGACCGAGTCTGTAATACCTACATGTTTCAAGCAGACCACCATAGTCCCTGTGCCTAAGAACGCGAAGGTAACCTGCCTAAATGACTACCGACCCTTCTGTAGCCATGAAGTGCTTTGAAAGGCTGGTCATGGCTCACATCAACACCATCATCTCAGAAACCCTAGACCCACTCCAATTTGCACATCGCCCCAACAGATCCACAGATGACGCAATCTCTATTGCACTCCACACTGCCCTCTCCCACCTGGACAAAAGGAACACCTACGTGAAAATGCTGATCATTGACTACAGCACAGCGTTCAACACCATAGTGCCCTCAAAGCTCATCACTAAGCTAAGGACCCTGGGACTAAACACCTCTCTCTGCAACTGGATCCTGGACTTCCTGAAAGTTCGCCCCCAGGTGGTAAGGGTAGGCAACAACACATCTGCCACGCTGATCCTCAACACGGGAGCCCCTCAGGGGTGTGTGCTTAGTCCCCTCCTTTACTCCCTGTTCACCCACGACTGCGTGGCCAAGCACGACTCCAACACCATCATTAAGTTCCAACACGCATTTACTATGAACACTGAGGCTGTACCCGCTTTAAGTTACAGTTTTAGCAGTGGCCAAGTAGGCTGATGTGGCTATTTGATCATAATGTAGGTCTACCAGAGTGGCCTACCATCAAAAACAATGGAGAAAATGCATCCCATAACATTTTTACACGGAAATAGCTGTTCTTTCAGTAGCAGCAAATGTGTGGTGTTCAATGTAGGCCTACATTCCATGAGACTTTGAAGAAAATACATGCAGGGCTTGACAACCTGTTTATCCACTTGTCCTTCAGACAAGTAGGTGACTGAAAATGTTGTGTTGTTTGATGCAAGAAACCCCTTTACAAAATAAAATGCATTATTATTCCCATACCATTATTACAGAGAATCAGACAAATTATGCTACCCTCTGCCTATTGGCTCCTTAGCTTATTCAAGCCTGTCTCAAAATACAACACTGCCCCTTTAAGACAAAAAACATAAAGCTCTTCACCTGACTCGCTTTTCAAAGATGTCTAGAAATGTCTACGTTTTGTGCTCTTGTAGAATCAATCACTCCCCTATTGCTGACTAAAAAGGTGCACACGTGGCTACATGAAGCTTTGATCTCAAAACAAGTGCATCTACTCACGACCGCTCATGCTGTAAACACAGTCCAGTTAAAAGTAAATGGCACAGATCCATATATGGCAATGGTCTATTTGCATATTGGCCTACTGCAGCTCCGATTGTTTATGCCACACCGGTCTGTGTAGAGTACGGGCTGAGTAGTGCGTGTCAATGGGACAATGTCTATATATATATATATATATATATATATATATACACCATGAGTTCCTTAGTTATTGGTGATGTCCTTTGTTCCTGTTAGCCCTGTTTGTTATACCTTTTTACATTCTCCTATTATGGCACTTTGCTTTGTGTATATCCTAAAATGTTGTATCTCCTTTGTATCCTCCAGAACCACACAACCTTACCTACCGGCTATCTCCATCCTATTCCCCATGTGCTCCTGTGTCCTTGTGCTGTGCCTTTGTTAAAATAACCAAAACTGGAAACCTTGTCTTCAACCATCATTCCTGTATTCTTACAGATGCACCATAGTTGCAATATCACTCCTCTACCTAGCCTAAGACTCAGTCCACCCTAGTTACTTTCTTTAGATGGATTATTGTAAGACAGAATCAACGTATCTGAATCAGGTGTGTTAGAGTTGGGCTGGCAGGAAAGCCTGCACACACGCGGCCCTTGCTCTAGGACTATTTCCATTCAATTTATTTTAATTCAATGGGGTCAATCTCTGAACAGGTGTCCAAGGCAAAAGTACAGAACTCAAACTCCTTGGGGGGAGCTAGCAGACAGAGATACATTAGTGGAATAGAGTGGTGTGCAGAAGAGAGAAAGGGACCACATGAATGAGCAATTCCCCGCGCTTGTGACAGGCATAGATGGGGTCCTCGTGGTAAGAATGCAGCAGGTAATCTGCATCGCTTATTCTAGATTTTATAAGCCAGATAAGATAAAAATAGATCCCATTGGGACATCTGCCTGCCTGCCTATCTAAATGTAAATAAAATAATTGCATTATAAAGAAGATTCAGGGTTTATTGTGTGTCAACAAAGACAGACTGATGGCATTGTTACATTAAATTACTCTGATCTGTGTGCTTTTATTCACAGTGATGACAATAGACAGGCGAGGGGCAGGGAAGGTAGAGAACACACAGCGCATCACATGGAACTGAGAGTGAGTGAGTGCGCGTACAGTTATGATAAAACACACTGGCTACCCAGGGGAGGTAACCCCACTATGAAATACTAAACACAGTCATTATAGAACAGAGATTAACCACTGTAGTAAGGGGGTGCTAATGACAATAGGATGAACCCCCAAAGCGCACATGCACTCGCGCGTGCGCGTGCGCACACAAACACACACACACACACACACACACACACACACACACACACACACACACACACACACACACAGGGAAACAAGAGAGAGACTTACATGTTTTGACAGGTTGGGGCTCTTTGAGTCGACGTCATACCTGGAAAAGAGAAGAGAAACACACTGTTAGAGGGGCAAGGAGATGACAGCAGTACAGCTGCGAGCAGCAGATGATTCACAGAAATGGACACTCTCAGTTAGACCGCTCAGTAAATGTATAAAGCAATGATGTCACACAGAGTATTATTAAGTCTTCTTGTGCTTTTCAATCATTTTAGTACCCTGAAATGTCAAAGCAGATGACTCCCTGGGTGTTTAAGTGTGTGTGTGTGTGTGTGTGTGTGTGTGTGTGTGTGTGTGTGTGTGAGTGAGTGAGTGAGTGTGCGCTTGTGTTTGTATCCTTGTACCAATGCGGGTGTCTATCTGTGTCTGTGTGAGCCAGTTCGGGAAGCGGGTTCATGTCCAACAGGGCTGCAATCAGCTGCAGATTCAGGAACCAATTCAAAGTAATTTCACAGTCCAGGTCATTTTACACAGCTACTAAAAATAGATGTCTATTTTTTAGGTAATATTTGAAAGCAATATTATGGAGACTGAGCCTCACGTAGCTGATAGCAATGCAGTGGTACAAAGACCCAATACTGTAGCCCCTGTGGTTTTTCTGACGCAAAAAAGAAAAAGGAAAATAATTTTGGTGATGGTAAAACATTTTCAGTGTAAACTTTAACAACTAAAACCATATGTAAATTATGTAGAAAATATAATGGAGCAATCTATTTTTTAAGAAGATCATCTTTGAGAACTAACAATCATCAAAATAAAAACTAGACTCAGGGAGAATCTAAAATTCCCAAAAAGTAATGGCATGCAGCCCCCATTGATTTTGTTAGTCACTCAGATAGCATAAGAACAAGACATAAGCCATGGCAAAATGTGTAGAATTGCAGGAAATTAGCTTTTAAACGGCATATTTTCTCTCAGCCCCATGGCAAAATGTGTAGAATTAAAGGAAATTAGCTATAAAACAGCAACATTTTGTCTCTGTGGTTTTAGATGCCCCCAAACTTTGCCATTGGTCACGCCCACTATCCCCTCCATAAGTTTGCCACCGCTGCTGAAAGAAAATCCTAGGTGAAACACTGAGTCAGCTATTTGAAAAACAACTAAATGGGTCCCCTCACTTGTTTTGATATACAGCTGAGACTATTGAAACATTGACCATTGAATAGCTTTCCAAATCCCAGACTAGAGCTTTAACAAAAAGGATGAGCAACACTGCTATAGAACATCAGCCATAGAACATAGAATCCATTTAAATCACATATTAAAACATCACCTCCCCACTATCACATAGGCCAGAAATATACATTATTCTGTTGACAGAAAACATTATGTGTGCCTGAGGGGAAATTGCATATTCAATCAGGCCAGTGTTTCATCCACTATGATCTCTGCCCATGTTGTCTCTACAGGATGGCCTTACTCAATTACACACATCAAACAACCAGTAAGCTCTGATTCTGTTGATGGGAGTTGAGAGGGAATATCTCTCTCTGTGTGATACTCGTGGGTCTCTGGGCTCTAGTCCTGTGCCAGCCTCCCCTAACACACACACACACACACACACACACACACGTCGCACATGGACTTGCACGGACACACACGCACACACACTCTCCCCGTCTAGCAAGCAGGACAGTTTATGTAGCATACTGCCACTGTCAGTGAGATGGGATGGTGTATTTGTCATTCTGAGTGTACTGTCAGAATGAGCTCTGGGATGTTTGTTATGTAACTCACAAAGCACTGGAGGCACTGCAGCTCTAAATGTTCTATTCCATTGAAACAGATCACTTACATTCATGAACACATAATTTCCTGAGACACATAGCACAAAGGCATGTGTTTTGTATTTATTCAGCCACCAAAACAACTGCCCCACGACACCTAACACACACACAAACACACACTACCACGTCTGTGCGTGCGCATATTTATGTATAAGTCTGTCCATGATGTACAGTATGCGTGTGTGCGTGCGGGTGTGCGTAGGGCTGTTGCGGTGACCGTATTACCGCCACACTGGCAGTCATGAGTCATGACCGCAGTAAAATTCTATGTGACCGTTGAGTCACGGTAATCTCCTCTTATGCACTCTGGACATGTGTTTGTTGTACAACTCCCTAATGACCATCAGGTCGCTAATGGCCTAGTACTCAGGGCTCTATTGTCCCTCTAACCACTCTGACATCAATGCAAATGCAATCAAAAATCACTTCAAACACTTATCATTAAAACAGTATGTGCAATTGAAACTCACCTCACTGTGATTGATCAATTTGAAGAAAGAAGTTCAACAACAGGTTTAAACTGAGTGGAAAACATGATCATTGTGGATGTTGTTTCAAAGCCTAACAGAACGAAATGGACAGTGCTTTCTAAGGTGAGGATTAATTCAAAACCCTCATATGCATATTAGCGCTTATGCATCTGCATAGGCCTATACTGTTTATGAGCCCAAGCCTGAAAAAAACCCTGAATTCATATAATGATTATGTCGTTAAACAATACATAGCCGACCGCATACTACACACAGCAGAAAAACAAAATAAATACTGATTTAAGATATCTTTGGTATATAATTGTTCTAGCCTAAATTAAACAAATTCAGAGTTAGCCTACAATTATAGTGAATTTATATATTTGATTTTGAATAGCCTAGTAATATAGGGCATTTTTTATATTTTCATAATTAATAGGCAGACCCATTACCTTTAGCTACAGAAAATCTCACCACCATGTGTTTCCTCTCCTCCTCAAATCATTAATAGCCCATAGTTGCATCATGCAGCCCATATATTGTTTAATTTCAAATAACTCTAAATCTAGCGTATAGGACCTGCTTCAAATGATCACTTTTACGCTCAAAATAGCCCTTCATATGCACACTCTCACTCCAGAATGGGAAAAATATCCTTTCTATTTTATTCAGCTATGTTCAATTATATTATTTTTACTATAAAATAATATAATATAAAATAATGGTACAGGACTTAAGCATATCTTGCCTGCTAAATGAACAAGCCTACAGCATGCCGCATAGCCAGATAACATACAGTAGGCCAACTCATATTCTGTTCTTCTGAAATACATTTGATTCATATCATGTTTCTTTAGATGGACCTTCCTAAAATAAATAATGGATTTATTGTGATGGTGTATATTCAATTGATTTATTATACTTTTTTAAATGTAGATCTTCCAAAGGCGAGCATCAGCAGCTTGTATGCGTGCACATGCTTGTGGTGTGTGTGTTTGTGTGTGTTTGTGTGTGTGTGTGTTAAGCCTCAGCTCTGACATTAACACAACCCAGCAGCGCTCCATCACTCTCTTGTCCACCTCTCTCAGAAACCCATTTGACTAGAGCTCCACTCGCTTGCCTGGGAAAATTCTATTTCAGACCAGGATAAACAAGAATGAAAAGCTGCCCTAACTAACCTTTAAACACAGGCTTCCACACAGTCAAGAAACCAACCGAGCCATAACATGAATGACAGAATATTATTCCATGTCTACTCTGACACAAACCAGAAAGAACTACAAGGAAGGAAAGAGAGAAGGAGACAGGGGAAAAGAGACCAAGGAAGAGAGAGTGATCAGTGGGGGGAGAAAGAGAGGGAGAGGAAAAAGAGGGAGAGAGAGAAGGAGGGAGAAGCAGAAGAAGGGAGAGAGAGAGAGAGAAGGGAGGTAAAAATAGAAAAAAAGAGTGTTAGCTATCTGAGCAGAGCACAGCCATCAGTGGAGGATGTAGTATGGCCTGATGTTCGCCCACACACACACACACACATCTTAAGCCTGCGGGGAGACACACACAGGTCGTGAACACACGCACCCTCTTAACACATACACATATTCTCTCTCTCACACACACACACACACACACACACACACACACACACACACACACAGTCCATTTACATTCCCTCCACCTGGCTGAATTGCATTAGGGCTCCCTAGTCTATGTATAGCCTGTCATGTAGTCCTACCTCCCCGACTGTGTGTGTGTATACGTGTGTGTGTGTGCGTGCATGTGATGGATGAAGTACGTGTGTGTCTAAATTATCATGTGTGTCTAAATTATAAACACAGTCAACGCATGCACACGATTGGAACATGGCTACACTGTTATGTAAATGCGGACTGTGTGTGTGTGTGTTTGTGTATGTTTGTGTGTGTATGTGGTGCGGTTGTCCTGAGCTCAGTAATAACTCCTGTCCCCCTCTCATTAGAGTGAGAGAATTGTGAGTCACGCTTGTCGGTTCTCATCACCAGGGTAAAAACAACGTCATCATTACACACACACAGTCACACGGCATGAATCAGTAGATGTACACTACATGACCAAGAGTATGTGGACACCTGCTCGTCGAACATCTCATTCCAAAATCATGGGCATTAATATGAAGTTGGGAAGGCTTTCCACTAGATGTTGGAACATTGCTGCGGGGACTTGCTTCCATTCAGCCACAAGAGCATTAGTGAGGTCAGGAACCGATGTTGAGCAATTAGGCCTGGCTCGCAATCGGCATTCCAATTCATCCCAAAGGTGTTCGATGGGGTTGAGGTCAGGGCTCAATGCAGGCCAGTCAAGTTCTTCCACACCGATCTCGACAAACCATTTCTGTATGGACCTCACTTTGTGCACGGGGGCATTGTCATGCTGAAACAGGAAAGGGTCTTCCCCAAACTGGTGCAATAAAGTTGGAAGCACAGAATCGTCTAGAATGTCATTGTATACTTGAACTAAAGGGCCCAGCCCGAACCATGAAAAACAGCCCCAGACCATTATTCCCCCTCCACCAAACTTTACAGTTAGCACTATGCATTGGGACAGGTAGCGTTCTCCTGGCCAAACTCAGATTAGTCCGTCGGACTGCCAGATGGTGAAGCGTGATTCATCACTCCAGAGAATGCATTTTCACCGCCCCAGAGTCCAATGGCGGCGAGCTTTACACCACTCCAGCCAACGTTTGGCATTGCGCATGGTTATCTTAAGCTTGTGTGCGGCTGCTCGGCCATTTCATGAAGCTCCCGACGAACACTTGTGCTGTGTGTTGCAACCGAGGACAGACAATTTTTACACGCTACGTGCTTCAGCACTCAGCGGTCCCATTCTGTGAGCTTATGTGGCCTACCACTTCACGGCTGAGCCGTTGTTGCGCCTAGACGTTTCCACTTCTATGGAGATTGCATGGCTGTGTGCTCGATTTTATACACCTGTCAGCAACGGGTGTGGCTGAAATAACCGAATCCACTAATTTGAAGGGGTGTCCACATACTTTTGTATATATAGTTTATTACAGTCCCAGTCAGACCAATTCACATGGAGTAAATAATGCTATTGGTGTACATAGAGATTTGTGTATCATTCAATTAGTCGTGTGTATTCAGTTAGTTGTGTGTTCAGTTAGTTGTGTCGCTCTCAGTAAAAGAATGTGGCTTTTACAGGTCCTAGTTGGTCTTTCAGTTGTCATGACAACGGACGCTGACACACACACACACAGCACTTAATTTTCACTCTCGTATCGGCGAGAGAGGGCCCACGTGACCTCCTGACCCCTCGCATGTCAGAGAGATTTAAATACCTACACACACACATACACGTCTGCATGCACACACACACACACACACACACTGACAGGACACTAGGCAGGGACACCAATCCGTACTAACAATGCATACTGTAGATACACTCCTTTATACACTATACACACAACTACACAAAGGTAGTGAAAAAGACAGAGGCACATACACATGTTTAGTTTTGCTTACAGGTCAAATCTCAGATTCTGTCGTTCCTCAAAGAAATAATCCAAGATGAATTTACGAACAAACTCTGGGTTGAGAGTGTTTTCAATCACCTCTGTCCTTCCAAACTTGAGAGAGAGAGAGAGAGAGAGAGAGAGAGAGAGAGAGAGAGAGAGAGAGAGAGAGAGAGAGAGAGAGAGAGAGAGAGAGAGAGAGAGAGAGAGAGAGAGAGAGAGAGAGAGAGAGAGAGAGAGAGAGGATGAAAAGGTTGAGGGTCAAAAGCATGCAAGATATTTCCTTCAGTTTAATGGGGGTATTTGACAGACTACATTCGTGACATACAAACGATTTCTAATGGAGAGAGAAATTAATTTACTGCTCGAAGAATTTGATGGTGCATCACAATTTCAAATAAATAAATGTATGAAATATTGAGAATTCATTACTTGAGAGTGACATTACCGAGGCTGCCTCCCAAATGACACCCTATTTCCTATATAGTGCACTACTTTTGACCAGGGCCCATATGTAGGGAATAGGGTGGCATTTATGACAAAAGCAGAGTAATACAGTGAGGGAAAAAAGTATTTGATCCCCTGCTGATTTTGTACGTTTGCCAACTGACAAAGACATGATCAGTCTATAATTTTAATGGTAGGTTTATTTGAACAGTGAGAGACAGAATAACAACAAAAAAATCCAGAAACAAATGCATGTCAAAAATGTTATAAATTGATTTGCATTTTAATGAGGGAAATAAGTATTTGACCCCTCTCAATCAGAAAGATTTCTGGCTCCCAGGTGTCTTTTATACAGGTAACGAGCTGAGATTAGGAGCACACTCTTAAAGGGAGTGCTCCTAATCTCAGCTTGTTACCTGTATAAAAGACACCTGTCCACAGAAGCAATCAATCAATCAGATTCCAAACTCTCCACCATGGCCAAGACCAAAGAGCTCTCCAAGGATGTCAGGGACAAGATTGTAGACGTACACAAGGCTGGAATGGGCTACAAGACCATCACCAAGCAGCTTGGTGAGAAGGTGACAACAGTTGGTGCGATTATTCGCAAATGGAAGAAACACAAAATAACTGTCAATCTCCCTCGGCCTGGGGCTCTATGCAAGAACTCACCTCGTGGAGTTGCAATGATCATGAGAACGGAGAGGAATCAGCCCAGAACTACACGGGAGGATCTTGTCAATGATCTCAAGGCAGCTGGGACCATAGTCACCAAGAAAACAATTGGTAACACACTACGCCGTGAAGGACTGAAATCCAGCAGCGCCCGCAAGGTCCCCCTGCTCAAGAAAGCACATATACATGCCCGTCTGAAGTTTGCCAATGAACATCTGAATGATTCAGAACTGGGTGAAAGTGTTGTGGTCAGATGAGACCAAAATGGAGCTCTTTGGCATCAACTCAACTCGCCGTGTTTGGAGGAGGAGGAATGCTGCCTATGACCCCAAGAACACCATCCCCACCATCAAACATGGAGGTGGAAACATTATGCTTTGGGGGTGTTTTTCAGCTAAGGGGACAGGACAACTTCACCGCATCAAAGGGACGATGGACGGGGCCATGTACCGTCAAATCTTGGGTGAGAACCTCCTACCCTCAGCCAGGGCATTGAAAATGGGTCGTGGATGGGTATTCCAGCATGACAATGACCCAAAACACACAGCCAAGGCAACAAAGGAGTGGCTCAAGAAGAAGCACATTAAGGTCCTGGAGTGGCCTAGCCAGTCTCCAGACCTTAATCCCATAGAAAATATATGGAGGGAGCTGAAGGTTCGAGTTGCCAAACGTCAGCCTCGAAACCTTAATGACTTGGAGAAGATCTGCAAAGAGGAGTGGGACAAAATCCGTCCTGAGATGTATGCAAACCTGGTGGCCAACTGCAAGAAACATCTGACCTCTGTGATTGCCAACAAGGGTTTTGCCACCAAGGACTAAGTCATGTTTTGCAGAGGGGTCAAATACGTATTTCCCTCATTAAAATGCAAATCAATTTATAACATTTTTGACATGCGTTTTTCTGGATTTCTTTGTTGTTATTTTGTCTCTCACTGTTCAAATAAACCTACCATTAAAATGATAGACTGATCATGTCTTTGTCAGTGGGCAAACTTACAAAATCAGCAGGGGATCAAATACTTTTTTCCCTCACTGTAAATGCACATGAACCTAACAGAGCTATCTATAGTGGTGATATGGGTCTGATATATGAGAAATTATTCATCATAGGGAAAATATGAAGAGATGGGGAATCTAACTGAGTTATGATTGGGTTGAGGATTAATTTAATCATTTACTTGTATAAATATTGATGTTTGAGTGCCAAAGATCATGTTGAATATCAGGCCTTCTCAATTCAGTATCTGGTGTACTGTGTAGGCTAACTGAAGGGGACTTACCTCTCTCCACTCCTTATTGCCGATGCCTTGTGTGTACAGAACGCATACTAGATGAAGAGGGAGATACACAGAAGAAGCAGGTTAAACAGGGGACCATGCATTTCCTTTTGTGAGGAAAATGCATTACAGGGTTACAAACAGAGGAGGAATGTTTTAAATCGACAACAGTATAATGCTGTAGTGGGAAAAAACTTAGGTCATTCATGGTGTACTTATTTCAGTAGGCTTTGAGAAGGCACAGCATAATAAGCTCCTGTTAAGGTAGTGGCACACACACACACACACACAATCACTTACTCAGCAGCCCAGAGGAGAGCTGAAGCCAATTAGCCTCTGTTCATATGCCTCTTACAGAGAGAGGGAAGAGAGGAATGTAGTGAACATAAGAGCAGCCTTTGTCCCGACATCTCTGACATCTCTCTCACACTCACTCTCTCCGCGTCTCTCGCTCTCCCCTCGCTCTTGTATCTCTGCCACACTCCCACTATCTCTCTGGATCTCTCCTTCTCTACCTTCATTTTCAAAGGCTCACCCAAAGAGAGATATACGACCCCTACTCTCCCCACAGTAAGTCTCATCTGAGACCTGAGAAGAAAAGGCTATAGAGTTGTCCCTCTGTCCCCCTATCCCTCCCCTGTCCCCTGGCCTTGCCTGGCCCCTCTCGCTGCCCACTGAAGCAGCTTAATTCTGGAAGACTTGAGCAGCAGCACTCAGCATGATTAAGATGGCCACTCAGCACAAGTGCCTCCTTACATGAATGTATGTGGCCCTGGTCCTGGCTCATCATCATAAGCCTATCAATAGTCACATAGCCTCCTTCTCCCTATTATTTGCCACAGATCCCATACATGAATATGAATAAATCTGCCTTGAGAATATGACCCGTGACATATGAGTGGAGTCACTCTGATTGACTAGCGAGGCGTGAGATGAAGGAAGACGCCCTGTTTCTATTTTGGGCTGGAGTTGAGGAGGAGGGGAGAGGGGGCGAGACTCAGAGACAGAATTTAGGGATGCTGAATTGAGATCAGCACCACAACAATGTTGATGACAAGTTTGACGCACACTGATATCAAGTACAGGAATTTGTATGTGTGTGTGTGTGTGTGTGTGTTGTGCTCACTTCATGAGACCCAAAGAAAGAAAGGAAGAAAGAAAGAAAGAAAGAACAGAAGAAAAAAACTTACAGAAATTCATGCAAGGCTACTGGAATACAAGAATGTCAAGACAGGCAGAAAAGCAGACAAAAGGCCTGAAAGAAAAGAAAAACAGAAAGATGAAGAGCATGTGTGAGGCATTCCAACCAGAGAGAGAGAAAGAAAGAGAAAGAGAGTAAGATGGAGAGAGAGAGAGAAGGCAACAATGCCACAACAATACAGAACCATTAACCACATTACTGATTAATACACAGCCCAGTGATTCATCAGTAAATGATTACATAATAACATAAACATACATACATACTAGTGGAGGCTGCTGAGGGTAGGATGGCTCATAATAATGGCTGGAATGGAGTGGTATCAACCACATGGAAACCACATCTTTGATGTGGTTGATACCACTCCATTGACTCCATTACAGCCATTATTATGAGTCCTCCTCCCCTCAGCAGCCTCCACTGATCCATACGTACATTTTTTTTGCACTAACTCTCTTGCACTGGCTCTATACACTCACATGACTCTCCCCACTCACTCACACATACTACACTGACACTCAAACACACACACACGCACATTGAGGCCGCACACACTTCACATACGCTGCTGCTACTCCGTTTATTATATCCTGATTGCCTAGTCAATTTGACCCCTACCTACAGCGAGGGAAAAAAGTATTTGATCCCTTGCTGATTTTGTACGTTTGCCCACTGACAAAGAAATGATCAGTCTATAATTTTAATGGTAGGTTTATTTGAACAGTGAGAGACAGAATAACAACAACAAAAATCCAGAAAAACGCATGTCAAAAATGTTCTACATTGATTTGCATTTTAATGAGGGAAATAAGTATTTGACCCCTCTGCAAAACATGACTTAGTACTTGGTGGCAAAACCCTTGTTGGCAATCACAGAGGTCAGACGTTTCTTGTAGTTGGCCACCAGGTTTGCACACATCTCAGGAGGGATTTTGTCCCACTCCTCTTTGCAGATCTTCTCCAAGTCATTAAGGTTTCGAGCCTGACGTTTGGCAACTCGAACCTTCAGCTCCCTCCACAGATTTTCTATGGGATTAAGGTCTGGAGACTGGCTAGGCCACTCCAGGACCTTAATGTGCTTCTTCTTGAGCCACTCCTTTGTTGCCTTGACCGTGTGTTTTGGGTCATTGTCATGCTGGAATACCCATCCATTACCCATTTTCAATGCCCTGGCTGAGGGAAGGAGGTTCTCACCCAAGATTTGACGGTACATGGCCCCGTCCATCGTCCCTTTGATGCAGTGAAGTTGTCCTGTTCCCTTAGCAGAAAAACACCCCCAAAGCATAATGTTTCCACCTCCATGTTTGACGGTGGGGATGGTGTTCTTGGGGTCATAGGGAGCATTCCTCCTCCTCCAAACACGGCGAGTTGAGTTGATGCCAAAGAGCTCAATTTTGGTCTCATCTGACCACAACACTTTTACCCAGTTCTCCTCTGAATCATTCAGATGTTCATTGGCAAACTTCAGACGGGCATGTATATGTGCTTTCTTGAGCAAGGGGACCTTGCGGGCGCTGCAGGATTTCAGTCCTTCACGGCGTAGTGTGTTACCAATTGTTTTCTTGGTGACTATGGTCCCAGCTGCCTTGAGATCATTGACAAGATCCTCCCGTGTAGTTCTGGGCTGATTCCTCACCGTTCTCATTATCATTGCAACTCCACGAGGTGAGATCTTGCATGGAGCCCCAGGCCGAGGGAGATTGATAGTTCTTTTATGTTTCTTCCATTTGCGAATAATCTCACCAACTGTTGTCACCTTCTCACCAAGCTGCTTGGCGATGGTCTTGTAGCCCATTCCAGCCTTGTGTAGGTCTACAATCTTGTCCCTGACATCCTTGGAGAGTTCTTTGGTCTTGGCCATGGTGGAGAGTTTGGAATCTGATTGATTGATCGCTTCTGTGGACAGGTGTCTTTTATACAGGTAACAAACTGAGATTAGGAGCACTCCCTTTAAGAGCGTACTCCTAATCTCAGCTCGTTACCTGTATAAAAGACACCTGGGAGCTAGAAATCTTTCTGATTGAGAGGGGGTCAAATACTTATTTCCCTCATTAAAATGCAAATCAATTTATAACATTTTTGACATGCGTTTTTCTAGATTTTTTTTTTGTTATTCTGTCTCTCACTGTTCAAATAAACCTACCATTACAATTATAGACTGATAATTTCTTTGTCAGTGGGCAAACGTACAAAATCAGCAGGGGATCAAATACTTTTTTCCCTCACTGTACCTCAATTACCTCAACTAGCTCTTACCCCTGCACATCGACTTGGTACTCCTTGTTATTGTTTCTATTGTGTTACCATTTCCTTTTTTACAGTATATAGCAAATATTTTTCTTTTAACTGTATTGTTGCGAACAGCTCGTAAGTAAGCGTTTCACTTTAAAGTCTACGCCGGTTGTATTCGACCAATAACATTTGATTTGATTTGACATCCATAACCTCACACTGATTTTAATAACATTCAAGGAGCATGGTTTTCCCAAAGCCTTATTAATTTTCACGTGTTTCACGTGACCCTCCAGATAATCCAAACCATTAAGGAAACACTGGGTTGACCTTTAGTCAATCTGCTTTTTCTGTGAGAGCTTCCCATGTCTGGAACACACTGCCATCAGACACACACAACTGCACCACCTATCACACCTTCACAAAAAACAAAGACATGGCTAAAGGACAATCAGACTTCTGAACAAAACCAGCACTTTTAATGAAATGTTGGTTAATGTCCACTGTCCCTGTAAAAATAAAAATAAACTCAAACTCAAATAAAGGAGAAGCTAAGGATGGAGTAATGGAAGGAGGGGCCTAGGTATGGTGGAGATGGAGTTGAGATATTTCAAAGTTAAACTAATGCAAACGATGAAACTATCAAGAGCAGAAACACTCATGTCTCAAAAAATCAAATCAAATCAAATTTTATTGGTCACATGCGCCGAATACAACAGGTGCAGACATTACAGTGAAATGCTTACTTACAGCCCTTAACCAACAGTGCATTTATTTTAAACAAAAAAAGTAAGAATAAAACAACAACAAAAAAAGTGTTGAGAAAAAAAGAGCAGAAGTAAAATAAAGTGACAGTAGGGAGGCTATATATACAGTAAAATAAAGTGACAGTAGGGAGGCTATATATACAGGGGGGTACCGTTGCAGAGTCAATGTGCGGGGGCACCGGCTAGTTGAGGTAGTTGAGGTAATATGTACATGTGGGTAGAGTTAAAGTGACTATGCATAAATACTTAACAGAGTAGCAGCAGCGTAAAAAGGATGGGGTGGGGGGGGCAGTGCAAATAGTCCAGGTAGCCATGATTAGCTGTTCAGGAGTCTTATGGCTTGGGGGTAGAAGCTGTTGAGAAGTCTTTTGGACCTAGACTTGGCACTCCGGTACCGCTTGCCGTGCGGTAGCAGAGAGAACAGTCTATGACTAGGGTGGCTGGAGTCTTTGACAATTTTGAGGGCCTTCCTCTGACACCGCCTGGTATAGAGGTCCTGGATGGCAGGGAGCTTTGCCCCAGTGATGTACTGGGCCGTACGCACTACCCTCTGTAGTGCCTTGCGGTCAGAGGCCAAGCAGTTGCCATACCAGGCGGTGATGCAACCAGTCAGGATGCTCTCGATGGTGCAGCTGTATAATTTTTTGAGGATCTGAGGACCCATGCCAAATCTTTTTAGTCTCCTGAGGGGGAATAGGCTTTGTCGTGCCCTCTTCACGACTGTCTTGGTGTGTTTGGACCATGATAGTTCGTTGGTGATGTGGACACCAAGGAACTTGAAGCTCTCAACCTGTTCCACTACAGCCCCGTCGATGAGAATGGGGGCGTGCTCAGTCCTCTTTTTTTTTCTGTAGTCCACAATCATCTCCTTTGTCTTGGTCACGTTGAGGGAGAGGTTGTTGTCCTGGCACCACACGGCCAGATCTCTGACCTCCTCCCTATAGGCTGTCTCATCGTTGTCGGTGATCAGGCCTACCACTGTTGTGTCGTCGGCAAACTTAATGATGGTGTTGGAGTCGTGCCTTAGCTTAGCTTTAATGCAGTCTGTGTGCTGATCTTCTCAATTAAACCGCAGGGAAAACCAAGCACAACAAATCACGCCTACTGAATATATATATATATATATATATATATATTATATATATATTCAGATTAGTCATTTGGCCCTCAGGTCCTCTTCACACAATTACTGTCAAAATAAATAAACATGTAAAATAAGTAGGGAGTGACTCACACCTTTATGTGTAATCCATGTTGTATGGCATACTAACGTATACGAGTTGCATCCAACATAAGACGGATTGTTTGTGTGTGTTTTTGT